TTTTAAATTCCAAGAAGACCATTAAATCCCTCGACCACTTCTATCTACGTGTATTTGATGTGCAAGCATTTCAGATTGGTCACACAATATTCGAACACACGTATTGTGTAGCCAGCGTGTTATCTTCAACGCAGGCAGTCCTGGAAATTGGCGTTTGACTTACACTTATATAAACTAAGCTCAAACATAGCTAGTGTACAGACGTACGATGACAGACATGGCTTTAAGAATATTGGCCTCGACCTCTTGCAACTGCATATTCATTTATTAACCCCTAATAAAAATGTAAAATTAATATTCATTGCTTTATACAATGTCTAGAGAACAAAATACATGACTATGTTAAGAGAAGAACAGACAGATGAAACCATTACAAATATAATAAAATCACACTTTTGGAAAAAGTAAATCAATTCAAATACCTATAAGATCTTTAACAAATGAAAAAAAAAAAATTAACAAAAAGAATAACAGAAACAATATTGGCTGGAAAAGGGCATACTTCATCAGTCAGAAAATAATCAAAAGTTAACAAAATATTTACAAGAAAAGCAATGAAAACTACATATAAAAAAGTGTAATCAGGCCAGTCGTAACACAAGCAATGAAAACTACATATAAAAAAGTGTAATCAGGCCAGTCGTAACACAAGCAATGAAAACTACATATAAAAAAAATGTAATCAGGCCAGTCGTAACACAAGCAATGAAAACTACAGATAAAAAAAAATGTAATCAGGCCAGTCGTAACACAAGCAATGAAAACTACATATAAAAAAATGTAATCAGGCCAGTCGTAACACAAGCAATGAAAACTACAGATAAAAAAAAATGTAATCAGACCAGTCGTAACACAAGCAAGTGAAAATCGGACCCCAACAAAAACGACTGAAAACATTTATAAACACATGGGCGTCCGCAGGTAGGGGCAAGTTGGGGCACTTGCCCCCCCCTCAAACAAAAACAATAAAAACTACAGATAAAAAAAAATGAAAACAGGCCAGTCGTAACAAAAGCAAGGAAAACTACATATAAAAAAATGTAATCAGGCCAGTCGTAACACAAGCAATGAAAACTACAGATAAAAAAAAATGTAATCAGGCCAGTCGTAACACAAGCAAGTGAAAATCGGACCCCAACAAAAACGACTGAAAACATTTATAAACACATGGGCGTCCGCAGGTAGGGGCAAGTTGGGGCACTTGCCCCCCCCTCGCCCCCCGGATTGATTGGATACATTTTTTTTAGACAAAAATAGACAACAAATGTATTAAAGTAAAGAGAAAACAAAGAGAAAGTAACTAAGCTGATGTCCTGTCCTTTCGTTCACCATACAAATACACTACAGTAAATTAAAACTATATTAAAACATTACTAAAAAAATTTTGCCCCCCCCCCTGGAAAGTTAATCGATTTTTTGCCCCCCACCCCCACCCCTAGTAAGTTTTCTTCGGGCGCCCATGCTCATGGGTGAGACAAGTTCTCCGGAAAATACATGGACCAACAAATGATGAATATGAATGGAGAACACGAACTAAGCAGGAATTTCAGAGACTATACCAGGGGTCGGCAAATCGCGGCTTGCGAGCGCATGCGGCTCTTTTGCGACCTGAGTGCGGCTCTTTAGCGATCTGAGTGCGGCTCTTTTGCGACCTGAGTGCGGCTCTTTTGCGACCTGAGTGCGGCTCTTTTGCGACCTGAGTGCGGCTCTTTTGCGACCTGAGTGCGGCTCTTTTGCGACCTGAGTGCGGCTCTTTAGCGACCTGAGTGCGGCTCTTTAGCGACCTGAGTGCGGCTCGGCCAGTCAGCCACAAATCGGTTTCGACTCCGAAAAATAGCGCACTTGACAGGTTCTTGAAAATAAATTTGGCGCTCAAAAAATTTTTAATCATCCTGCTGCTAATTTGGGCTCTTTTGATTAATGAATTTGCCAACCACTGATCTATATCATCCAAGCTAGTATATTAGTAGCGGAAATTTAAAATAAAGGGAAGCCCACTCTGGGCTTGGCCCTCAGAAAGAATGCCAAATGACAGAGGAAAACGGCTTGAAGGCAGCCCTAGGCGTAGATGGATAGATGATGTGGAAAGAGATCTACAGCAGCTGGGAATCCACGCATGGACTATAAAACAATCAGTAAGGTCTAAGTAGAAGGATGTGGTGAGGCAGGGAAAAGCCCTACATGGGCTGTGGCCCCGGCACCAGACCGTCAGCATTTCGTTGCCGGTCCGCACAACACGAATATATATTTTCAAATAAAAAGACATTTTAATTAGTAAATCTAGCATCGGTCACTCGAGAAATTTTGAAATTGTGTCAACCTGTCCGTCAAAATTAAAAATTTCGGAACCGTTGGTCTACAGCTCACATTAGATTCGTTATAGCAAACTTCTGATGTTGTGTCTTATTTTATGCTCATGTGACGAGAGGTGGTGGTTTTACAGTGCCCCTCACATTCTTATGTGTCCCCTACTGCTAGGTGCAACCACAGCTACCACTGGTGACACCGCCCATTAAGGGAACCTGTACAATATGGCAATGGCGTAGCTCGAGTTACGTGGGCGCTGGCGCAAGATTTATTTTTTTTTATCTTAACCAATATTTTTCTTTGTTACTTTAATATGCTCGGACCTCCTTTGGCTTCAGGCCTCTTTGCGGTGGCACCACCTGCGACATTGTAGGTACGCCACTGCCATAGGGTTATGTTCGTGTGGCAAACACACAAAAAGACTCTTAAAAACCAGGCCACGAATTATTGCAAATCAATCCGCGGAATACTCCGAAATAATGACGAGTTTGATGCTCCACTTTTAGATGAGCTCTGAGCACACCTCGAGTCCACACACAGCTGGGCAACGATACAGAACGTTATCAAATAACCATTGCTTCTACTAAACCGTTTCAACGCTGGCACGTGCAAGGCAACTCCATTCACCCACCCTGGTTAACAAAGAGAGCACAGGCTCATTGATGACGCTGCAGATTCGTAATTGGAACTGTGTTTTACTGAAGGCTCCCCACCCCTAAGTTAGAGAGCCTCATCCACAAAATACTCACTTCCGATGAACCCCGTGACCCTTACTGCACGATAAACAAGGCCCACGTGTTTTATAAAAATGTGTTCCCTTTCGAGAATACTCTGACTTTGGTTCATGACAACTAACTCCGACATTGAACTCCTCAAATTACAGTAAAACCGTAAAAAACATATACGTATTATAAATTATGACATGAATCTTACCCCAAAAGGATGATACAACATAATTTTTTAAAAACGACAACTGACAAATAAGCTCCCACCCTTGAAATGCTCCTCTGCAACTGTCATGGTCGTAGTAAAATGAGATGACCTTTTCAAAAAACGAGTTTGAAATCGACATTTCTAACAAACATTAGTAATAAACCAGTGTTTTTAAGTTCAATAACTTTGAATTGAGATAGACATTTAAATAAACTTAGTTTTTTTTTAGTTTAAAGAAAAATCAAATCATATACATATCAAGGGTGTTGGGTGACCCGAATGGTCTAAACTGAGTCCATCTGAAGCTAGTGTAGGAAAGTTCAATCCCCAGCAAAAGCAAAAACAGCACCCCGGATGGAAGCCGTGACCCTCGTTAACCTTGCATGGCCTACCTTCTAAGAGAAGGTCAACTCTGAAATCCAACCCCCGGAAGTGGAGTCGGGTAGACGGGATGACATTGACGCAATGGAAATTCAGAAACTCCTGCTTCTTAAAACGCAGAGATCACTGTCAAACACACAAGACACATGGCTGGTCATCTACACTGCGCCCTGGTCTATTTACGGTCGTCTTGACTAAGTCTTGCCATTTGAACAATTAGGCAAGGGCGAGAGAGTGAGGACGACGATTTGAGCAACTCTCCATCACGTTGAACGAAACACAGCTCAAGTCGAAGGACGAACAGGAATACTATAACAGTATCGAATAATGGAGGCTCACTGTCTAATTCAGGGGCTTTTCATTTTTTTTTTTTTTCCTGCACCGTAACCCTTATTTATTTATAAAACATTTCTCTCGCCCCACCTCTGCTCCCCCACTGCACCAAACTAACACAAAACTCAATTATCAAAAAGAACGTGCTTTGAAAATGAAAATCAATCATTTTGTCTTCCCGCAGTCCCTGACACTGCCATCAGCACTCCCTGTATGTAGATGCAGGGATTGCTAGTTAAAAGAACCACTGCTCTAGTTTGAAAAAAAACAATTGAAACTATTTTAAGTTTTAAAGCTTACATTTAAAAAGCAAAGTAAGTATCGTTTGGTTCAGTGACGTAGCTATGGGGGCGGGGGGGGGGGGGGCGGACCGCACCGTGTGACACCAACCCTAGAAACGCCACTGGTTTGGGTGTTACCATAAATGAAGCGCTCGGCTGGGGGGCAGAAAAATCGCTTCAAGGATTGTCTAAAAGCTTCTCTTAAATCCTGGGACATTGGCCCTGATTCGTGGGAGACACTTGNCCCCACCACCCCCCCCCCCCCCCCCCCAAAGAAAGCACATGGCAAGAAGTACCGTATCAAAATCAACTCAAATCCTTCTTGTTCTAGGATCCAAAACATGGAAAGCTTTCCAGGTGCATTTCGGGTTGGCAGGCAAACAGAAAAAAACAACAAAACCGGCACCGGTACTCGCATTAAAAAACTTTTTTTTTTTTGAATTATAAAGAAATAAAGCAAACAATATCCTCTCTACATCCGCCTGATATGGATAGTGTAAAAAGCTAATAAAATTAATAACAAAAGCAATGTAAGTTAAATAATGTCATGTATTAAAAGTTTCATAAAATGAGTATAACAAAGACTGTCAAAGAACCGGTAGGGTTAAACCAGTGTGTGTGTGGGGTGGGGGGGGGGGGGGAGGGTCAGCAATAATTATTACCAAATCATAATTATTAACTAAAACTGCGAAATGGTGCTATTATCAGAATTAAAAGTATTTGAACCCGGAAGCACTTATACCGAAATGACCTTCTTGAAAATTGCCTTAAATTGCCTTGACTTACATATTCTTTGCTTGAAAAATAAAAAGTTTTAACAACTCGACAAGTAGGCTACACTGGTGCCAGTTTTATAAATTTTAGTTTTGTTCTATAATTTGCATGATTTACTCTTATATTTATATTAATTATATATTAACCTTAATATGGTTGTTGCTTTTAATTTTTTTTTTAGATTATTAGTAGTAATATTATTAAATTTATTCATTTATTTTCATTATTTATCATTATTATTATTATTAATATTTATTATTAGTAGTATTAATAGTATTAGTATGATTAGATTCTGCTGCTATCACTCTAATCCACTCAACTCTTCATAATTGAATCTTGTCATAATACTAATACCATAGCACTATACTGATAATATTCATTCATTTTCATGTCTTCATAATATAACACTGAGTGAGTCTAACATTAATATTCAACTGAAACTGATACTAACACTGTTGACTGGTGAGTAATAGTTTAACTCGACCTACACACTAACACTCTTGACTTTTCTAGTTATTTTAGATTCTTGTCCTTTCTCCTAGTAAAATTACAGTTACAGTCTTGACTTGAGTCCACAGCTGAGACAGAAATTTTAAATATTGTCCTGCTGCCATAAGTCATAAGTGAATGTTAAGTTAATGCTTATAATCTTTGTAAATTAACCCATTTCATATTGGCAGAGTCTACATGTCCGTAGACCGGACAAATAATGCAGGAGATATACGTCCGGCGGGTATGTTACGTGACTGCCGGATGACTAGTAGGTGTTATTATTCCGGCAGGTCATGTAACAAGTGGTTGTCGGCAAAGTAGTTGCATTGCATATGATATTCAAATATTGTGTACATATATCATATATTAGTTAGCCTTTTCCCTAGATAATATATAAATACTGACTAACAGTGAACATATTAAATATATTCATATGCTCTGAGATACATAAAGTGTTTGACTTTGAATATTAAACTACTCTGCCTATATGCTAACTACTAGTAGTACTATTACTACTATTACTAATTGCTAGTCTATTTGATTCCGACTCTTCAAAGAAAAAAGTCCCTTATCTTGGTTAAACATCTTATAAAGCTCTACCTTGAAGCCTAAATTTAAAATATGAAACAAATAAAACAAGACCAGTACACTTCAATAGACCTATGTCATTAAAGTTGTATTTCAGGATTAGTATTTAGTATTGCATGAGAAGTAGGCTAGGCTACCACTATATCAACCCTATATTAAGTTGCAGGGTCTATTTCTTTGTGAACTATTGGCCTCCCCGCCTTCAACTTAATTATTTATCACTCTCACTATTATTTTTTATTACTGTAATTCTCTCTCGCTCTCAGCATTGCTTCCTTCTAGGATTCATTATTGCTTTAAACCCCCCCATTCAACTTAATTATTTATCCCTCTCACTATTTTTTTTTATTACTGTAATTCTCTCTCGCTCTCAGCATTTCTTCCTTCTAGGATTCATTATTGCTTTAAACCCCCCCCCCCCCTGTTTTGGTAATATACCCAAGTATTTTTTTTTATGCAACTGTAATATTCGCTGTTACATGACAAGGCTGATGGACAAATATCTCGCGCCACTTTGTTGCAGCGGTCATGTGACTAGGTCGCCAGAAGAATATCTCGATAAAGTATTCTTCCGGCGGTCATGTGACTTGGTCGCCGGAGGAATATCTCGATAAACAATTTGTCTGGTCCGGACGTGTAGACACTTTGTGTCATATTTCTTTCTTTTATAGAAATGAAGGTATGATTTTTTTAGTCAGTGACCCATTTGTACCACCTAATTTATCTTTGTATTTAACTATTAAAACTTGAGGCAAGCTATCAGAGTTTCTGCCCTATTTTTCCCACAACTTTTTATTTTAAAAGATAATACTACCAAATTTTCAGGGGACATTTATAAAAATAAAAGTTTTGTATAACTTCATGACTTTGAATTTTGGATACTTTTATTTGAGTCTGAGTGTATGTTAAGAAAAATGTGATTACATGATTATTATATTTTATTTAATTTAGACTCAGTTAAATTTTAAATCAATTCTTATATTTTTAAAAGTTAAAAAAAACAGAATCTTTAATTTAATAAAATTGAATGCATGAAATTATAAATAAAAACTAATAAAGTCACCCATAAGAGCATAATGGTACTGGTATGCGATTAAATTTCAAAAACCTCAAATAATAATATGGATGTTCTGCCTGTCATTTTCTATGTAAGCTGGTTCACAGACTTCTTGGTCTTGTTAATGAATCCCAGGTTCTCTCCTTCATAATTTTTGTCTCTGGCATCTACGTCCAAATGTTCCTCATTGTCGATGGAAGGAATTCCACTGAGTTCTTTGGTCTTCAATAGAAAATTAAAGTTTTCTCCTGTATCTAAAAAATCCAAGAAATAACATCTAATCATATTAAATCATAATCCTCAATATAGACAACTTCTTATTTCTTTTTAAATTATTCAAGTTTTGTGTTTATTAAAACTAATTTCTTTTTTATTATTATTCAATAATTATAATTATTAGAAATGTATTTCTATGTCATTACCTGTACATTAACAATCAATAAAAATGTAAAATACCGTATTAAATTTAATAATATATATTTAAATTAGACCTGGAAGTGAAATTGTAGTAATAGAATAGTATTAGTAGTATTGGTTAATTAAGCTTAGTTTAGTACTTAGTTAGACTTAGTAGCTAGAATTCCTTGGCTAAAGCCTATAAACTATAAATATAAATTATATTTAAATTGTAGGTTTAGAAATAGCAGGTTGAAGCAAGCTCAAAGTAAATTTTGTGCATATTATTGATATAAGTATTCTAAAATTACAATTTACTTAGATTTCTTCAGAAATTTAAGGATTACAGAATATTAAAACCCTCTTTATTGATTGTTATCGGGAGCCAGTTCCATTCCCGGTGAAGATGCAACATTTATTTTTTCCCTCCTGTATTTGGGGGGGTGGGGGTTTGATATGTGACAATCTGAAAGGGTTAGCATTAAAGGGTAAATAGACTATTTTAAAGTTATTTCCCATCCACAGTCGGCCACCACCTTGGTGGTTGGGGAAATAAGTGGCACAGCATGGATTGCTTAATTTTACCAAATAATTTATTGTTAGAAAACTAAGGTAAAGCGCAAATTTTTAAAAAAAGTTAATTACTCTCTAGGGCTAGCCTATACAATTTGTATAATTTTTGTTAATTAATATTAATATTATTTTCTACTGGAGTCGCTAAGGCTTATTTATTGTCTTCTACCCATCGGGTTTTATGCTTCTTGCCGTACCCAAGACCAGCTTATTTTATTCAATTTCCCAATGCATAATCTAACCATTCTAGGTTGTGAATAAAATAATAGGCCTTTGCAATTAAAGATATCAATTGAATAAATCTTCAACTAAAATATTTTTTGAGCTCAATGGTGAAGTGATTTATTATTTTTCACTTGACTCATTTTGCATTTGTGTAAATGAGTGAAATACTATTTGGCCTGATTTATTGTTTAGCTTATGCCATGCCTATGTGTAGAATGATTACACTTGTTCAGCTCAGCAACATTTTGATAAGACCTAGGTGAATATTGGTGTTTTCCTAGTCAGTCAATTCCCAACAAGCAGAATAAATATTTGTGGCTCTCAAATTAGCCGAATTTTAATTGTGCTTGACTTATAAGCAGATGAGGATTATTTATTATATTAAATCTAAGACTTGTTCAACAGAAGGTGACAAAGTTACATGGATCAACGCTTTTGAAATGTTTTAATCCAGTGCCCTGACACAATGAGGAGAGATCATTATTTAAGGCATATGTAATCATTTAATGTCATTGACCACCCTCCTGTTTTCAGTGAAAAAGACAATGGAATATTGAAAAGTAAAAAATAATCTCTCAATGTTTTTATCAGTTAGCATCCATCATGTTGCGTTTCCGTCACCAAATGCAACCCCGAAAGTTAAAAGTCACTCCTGGTGCAAATCCCCAAGCAAGAATAAATAAACTACGTGAAATAGTCACAGGGCTAATTCGATATGAGAGAGTGGAACCACTGTGGTATTTTGCTGATGAAGCAAGGCAGTATGCGGAAAGGGTAATATTTCAGTACTTTTTTTTATGATAAATAACACATCAAAGGATAAAAAAACATGTTCTTAGTTATTCCTTCTTTCATTCACCATGACACATGTCTGACTGTTTTATATTGAATGCATTTTCATTTGATTTTAACAAGTCTTATTTGTTTGATCGCTGTTAAACTATTGTGTCTTGTCTTGCACAGTTACTTTATCTGGCTATCAAAAATGGAGACAAGCATAAAGAAACAATGGAGCTGGCAGATTACTGGCTGGAGGTCAGCATGTTTTTTTAATATTTGTCTAAATTAATTGTCTTATTTAAAGATTCTTTCATGTTTTAACTAACAGGTATTAATGAAGTTTTTATTTTAAACTTAATACTTAATATACTCATTCTAAAGTTATTTTTTTCATACGCCCAAATATCTGGCCATCTTGTCTTTGCTATAAAATACCAAAGAACAAGCTTGTGTTTGTGCAGATTGCCTTTTCGCAGTCTATTGACTGATACCAAAAATAGGTCAACCCAAATAATGATAGTAAAAAAAAATTATTGAAAAAAATTTTGGAAAAGAAATTGTGTGTTAAAAAAATCTTAATCAAAGTTTCAAAAATTTGTAAAAAAGGTAGAATGTATGTTGCCTTCAGTTAAAAGAAAGGGACAATTTATGTGTAAAATTATAAACATTAATATCTAGTTACCATTCAGTAAGTTATCATTAACTTGTCATGAGCATTGTGAATATTCAAAAACAGCAAAAATATATGAGCTTAAAAACAGTGCTATGAAAATGTGTTTAATTTTGTTTACAGTCTATCATGCTCATAATTTCCTATTTACTTCTATTTCCTGTTTACTTTGACTTCCATCAGCTAAGTTTATCTTTGTGTACCTCTTTGTCTGCCGTTGAAGAATTTTTTAGTCAGACATTTTGTTGTTAAGTTGTGTGATCGGTCAGGTTTGCCCCAACTCTGTATGTTTCATATTATTCCAGGAGAAAGATTTAGTTCATAAGCTGTTCAAAGTGTTGGTCCCTCGTTATAAAAACTACAAAACTTGTTACACAGACCTACATAAATTAGCAGTGGAATATCCGGGGTCAGGCATTCCTATGGGAGTTTTGGAGCTCAGAGGTTAGTGTATTTCATACTGGCTCTTTGTGTATAGTGTTACAGAGTTATGAATGATGTACCACTTATTGTTTCAATGAAACATTATGGATATTACACTTACAGAGAAGTTTGTTCAGAATGGGAGTCTAGCTAAATTGTTAGACTTGGCAGATTTTATATTTCATTCCACTGAAAAATTAAATTAAAAATCTTCAAGGTTTATTTTGTGAGTGAATTTTTTATCAGCCCTGATTTTTTTTAAATTATAAGTTTTATATAAATTTGATTTAAAAATATTTGTAGATGTATTTTTACCACTTTTTAAATGTCTATGTGCGAAAGAGAGCAATTTATAATCATTAAAAAATGTTAGATCACCGAAAAAAAACAGTGGATTTATTTTATTATTAGTTGGATTTTTTTACAGATACTATCCAACAATCGATAATTCATTTACTTTGTTTACAGATACTAAGTTGATTTTTTGTTTTGTGATATTGAATGTTGTGTTAATTTCAACTACCGGTAAAATCACAGTTCTGAAAAAAAAATAGTTTTCAAAATAACTATGGAAGGTTCCACCATGTTAAATCTTTTTTCTTTAGGTAATCCATGGCCTCCCATCATAGCACGTCAACGAGACACCAAGTTCATTCTGTCAAACATGTTACTGACTGCAGCAAAACAGGATTTTTACAATACCAAGCAACAGCTCAAATCTGATGCAGCCACAAAGAGACAACAGCTTATTGAAAAAAGTGATGACATGCATACGATTAGAAGAACTGATGATTCTTCCTCTGTAGACCCACCTGCTAAAACAGAAAACTTAATGATGGACAGATAGCCCCTAAAGATTTATAATTAAATATTCTTTTTTTTGGTCAAGTTTAAAACACAATGACATTAAGTTGTTACAGAATTAAACTAAGATTATAGAATGCATTAACAGCATAAAGATATGTTTAAGCTTGTTGTAATAAAAATTTAATGTCAATTTTAAAAAGAAATAAAATAACTATTTTTGCTTTATTGCATAGTGTTGATTCAAGATTTTCTCAAAATATCAAGAGATAAGGTGTTGGTTTTTTTTGTTGTTTTTTTTTAAATATTTTTAGCCACTCATTTAGGTCACAGTGCCTCAGATTGTTCCCTGGCTCTGAGATCAGTTTCATTTTTCATTAAAATCAGGAGTCCCTTGTGGCCATTGATTTACAAGGCTTTTTATAATTGTTACTGTGAAATTTTTGTATAATCCATGGAAATGGAAAAGAGAAAAATAATGGATTCAAACATCAGCTTCTCATAAGAGTAAAGGTTTTTCAAGTGATTAAAGATTTGTAATATATGCTAAACGTATGATTTGCATATCCTGTTGGTTTATCATTTTTCTTGAAACATTTCTCAAAATATAGAGAGCCTAAACCTCTTTAAAAGGTGCTCTAACATTGTTATGTTTTGATTCTCTCCCTTTGATTTTCTCCTATCTTTATATTATGGAACAAAGATACAGTTGTTTGAAATGTTTAGTTTTGTGAGTTTAATAATCATCTGTACTAATGTCGTTTAAAAATATATAAATATATTTGCGCATTCATTTGAAATTTTAAAAATAAACTAAAATGAACATCTTCCTTCTTGATTATAGGAGCATAGTATACATTACCTCTGTGAAAACATATCTGCAAAAAGCTTAATTGACATGCCATACAAAATACTTGAAACATCATGTTTAAATATTAAAGTTAACATTGTTCAAACTGTTGAATTTTTTTGGTTTATTTGTTCTCATCGTTTCTCAGACTGTTTATTGTTATTGATCTTTTTATTCATGATATTATTATTACTCGGTGGTTTTATATAGCGCAGTACCCTAGCATAGGGCTAGGCTCACTGCGCTTCACATAAAAATTAGCAATTAAAATTACAATTTTACATGTAAAAAACAATTGGTTAAAAGCTTGACCTAACCCACCCAAGTACTATCTACCCCTGTCCAGCCATAGACAGCACCCAGCAGAATCGAGCGTTTTTTATCAGTCAGAGCGGGGTGAGAATGAGTCGGTATAATACAGTTTGAAGAGATGGGTCTTGAGGGCAGTTTTGAAGACAGTGATGGTTGCTATATTGCGGATGTGTAATGGGAGATGATTCCATTGTCTTCAGATATAAATTTTTTAATTATAATAACACATCCTGGGATTGTTAAATGAAAAATAACAATGATTTTGTTGACTATTGAATATAAATATAACTGCCTAATCCTATTTGACTAAGTTGAGCCACATCTTATGATAATTTCTAACAGCCTACTAAATTTCAACTATCTATTTCAAGGTCTTATCCTGTTTAGATATTGTTATTGCCTTGGGACACAAGGTCCCAGCTCCCATTGTAAATGCTCAATAGTTCTTAATGCTATTTGGTCATGGATGGTATGGTGAAATGATAACAGTTTTTACAATGTTTTGTTGAAAGGCACCATGCAAGGCTCTTAAATCGCCATGTTCAGAACCAATACTGGACAAAGACATGGCACAGAAGGCTCTTGAATCACCATGTTCAGAACCAATACTGGACAAAGACATGGGCACAGAAGGCTCTTAAATCGCCATGTTCAGAACCAATACTGGACAAAGACATGGGCACAGGAAAACTGTGACTGCCTTGGGCCAGTACTTAACTATTGTTCAGGTCCTGGGGAGAGCTGGAAAGGTGTAAATGATTGTTTCCTGGGGGCATGGTCACTTGATCAGGGTAGGTGTATAGGTGGTTCAAGGCCGCTGAGACATGTATTGTTGAATGTCCATGACACGCTTGAATGTGCCTAAGGGCAGGGAACTTAGTGGTGGGAAAATGTAATGCTTCTAATAAGATCTAAGGCAAGGATGATTTCAATGTATGACATTAAGGCGGGCAGTGTTCGCGTCGTGTGAAGGATATAGTCTTAGCCTTTACACATCTTGTTCTACGTGTAAAAGCTTGAAATTAAAATACGAGGCAATTAAAAGAAGAGAACCACTGGTCTGGATTTCTTTGTTGGAAGTTACATGATTATGGTACGGTATTTCTCCTTGCTAGATTAAGCTCTTCTAGTAACTTCTAACCATAACGATGACATCACTGTGGACTGTTCATGTGTGATTAGTTATCATTTATGTGTAGGCCTACATATTCGGGGATGAACAAAAGTGAAGGGATGGAAAAAGATTTTTGTAGGGGATGGTGTGGTGGACGATGTGCCGATGTTCCCTTCCCTTGAACTTTAGGCTCAGGGGTGAAAAGGGAAGAAGGATTTTTAACTACTTGACAGCAGGCTTCTTCAATAAGTTATTATGGACATTCTTAAAGACTTTGAGTATCGGTACTCATTTCATAATTAAAATAAAATGATTAAAAAAACACACCAAGCACTGTCGCCAAAAACCCCCAAAAAGACAACACTACAGAGTTGGCCTAAGAACCCCCAAAAAAGACAACACCACAGAGTTGGCCTAAGAACCCCCAAAAAAGACAACACTACAGAGTTGGCCTAAGATGCCGTCCTTCTATATGGGGTCGTCCGCACCTCTCTTCCTACGCTAGTGACCGAGAAAAATCAATTGGAAATATGTCATGTTGGAGGCTGACTCAGAGGCGTAGCTAGAGTGTTTGGCGCCCGCGGACAAGATACATTTTAAAGCACCCCCTTTTCTTTTCTTTTTTAAACTCTCAAACACATTACTTTCATCAATAAAATAATAGCAAGGCACATTTTGGCGCCCCTAACTAGCTGGCGCCCGGGGATATCTGTTCCCCCTGCCATCCCTTCGCTAAGCCTCTGTGCTGACTTGCCTAACCCCAATTGCCCCCAGACCCCATTCTCTATCGAGAATTCAGCAACGTAAGTCTCGCGCTTGTATAGTTGTTCCTTGTTCCGGCGGATAACCAATAAAATGGGCGAATCCCATGTTTCCAAAAATGTGCGCCACGCCGCCCATTGGGAGCCGCGGCTTTCTCACAGGGGCACCGCGAACTATTGGACTTCAAAAGTTAGCATTTTCCGAAAAATATCTGCTTAAAGGCCCCCCTCCCCCCACCCTTTAAAAAAAAAACGCTGGGAAAGAAAAAGTAATGAAGAAAAAGTCTGCTCCTCCTTCATGTAACAGTTTATGATCTCCAAAGGAATGAAGTCTATCTCTCATCTAATTAATTTTTTTGAAGAATACGTCTTCTTATCACAGCTGCCTTAACACCTTTTTTTTTTTTTTTTTTTTTTTTTTTTTTAAAAAAAAAAAAAAAAAAAAAAAAAACAAAAAAAAAAAAAAAAAAATAAGTCAGCATGTCATTAAATGTATTTTGGATATCAGTAGAAAATGAATGTTTCCTTTAACTCTAAAACTTTGTAAAATTCGGAAAGACTTTTTTAAATTCCATTTGTGCGAAGCTGAAGTTTCTAGGCGGAAAATGAAACCAAGGTACCCATGTACGGTTTGTTTCAAAAGATTTGAGAAAATTTCCCTTCAATAGTTGAAACAGTTCAATTAAATTTTTTGTTCAAAGATAATTAGTTAACTTTTTTTAACGTCACACTTAAAGTTTTTTTAAAAATAAATATTTCACAAGACTTGTTAACATTTGACATTTAAGGTGCCATGGGAAAATCTGCATTTAGCATGGGCACCGAGAATTTGAAAAGTATGGAAAACACTGGGTATATCATAATATCGATTTAAAATATAATTTTGGACGATGTATTATTAATAGCATTATAAGTCGTTTAAATTTTTAAACTGTTTGCGGGTTGTGGGGGATCAGCCAAAGGAGCGTGACATCATTTATGGATGGCTTCCCCAACGCGGCACACACACACACACACATTCACACTCGCTTATAACAATTTAAACTGTTAAGTCTCTTCTTTATGACAGCACCCCCAATCCGCCCATCCCCAACTCCCAGCCCAAACTGGGTTAGCGCGACAATCACTTCCAAATACTGTGATGGTAAAATGAAATCCAGCCCATTATTTACTACCTCGCGGGACGGCGTTGAACTCTTCACCCGTATTTAAAAAGAAAACCAGAAAATCACGTCATTGTTGTTATCAGTTCAGTCAGTGTGTAGCAGACGATGGCAGCAGAAGGAGGTTTTAAGGAATTCTGTGGGAATAGTTCAATATTTGTAAGTTGTGTTGCTAAATTAATTAGTCAAAATCAGGACTTTCAGCTGTGGTTTCGTCAGTTCTTATACTTTTTGGGATGACATTTGTGATTTTTAAAATCTGTTTTAAAAGTTACATTATGTAACACTAGTAACAGTAACAGTACCAACACTATCAGTCAGTAGGCTGGCGTAGTCTACACGAGACTGCAGTCAGAGGGCAGTAAAGGTGTCTACCTACTACATTGTACAGTAGTACGTACCACTGTTACAGTTTAACAACTTAATTTTTTAAAATGTTTGTAGGAAGGTCTATTTAACTGTAATAATGAATAAATGAATTGTGCGGCTGGCTGCGCAGTCAGCGCGGTATCGACGCATTGCCCTTTTCTACTTCTGATTTTGTTATTTTTACTTGCAAAGTCTAAGTGATTTTTACAAGTGAAAGTGTAATATTCACATGTGTTACTATTGTTACTTGTATTATTAAATTCACCACCCTTTCCACATTAGGGAGATTCGCTTATATTTAAAACAAAATAGGTGAATTAGGTGTGAAAGTATAGTTTTTTTTTTAAAAAGCTGCTCATAAATATTTCATAATATAAGTATAGGCTACTTTTACGCTCCACTCTATATTTATTTTATATCTTTAGTTCTATATTAATAATTAATATTATACAAAATATTAAGCTTGAGACTATACAGACCTTCTATACTAATAATACTATACTATTACTATAATTTATTGACCTACATTGTCTCACTCTCCAGAACCATTGCCATTGAAATTGAATCTTTGAAATCTTTGTATATTTCATTCAATCAAAATTAAGTCAAAGTCAAGTCATTCATTATTGAAATGCACATATCAACTTATCCTACTCAGTAATCTATTACTATTATTTCAATTTCCTAAAGGCCCATTTTTAAATTTTGATTAAAAAATCCTTTGTTCATGTCCATACCCAACATTTTTATTAATTTTATTTAAATGATAATATTAGTATGTAATTAGGCCCATAATATTCAATTTTTCATTTTTGTATTATTGTAGTGTGCATAATTGGTAGTTATTTTGTATTTGCAACTATGACTTACTTACTTGCACTGAGATTTTAGCTTGGGTTAGTTGGCTACAACTAGTACATGTAAAAACACAGGATTTTACTTTGAAACAATTAATTTCATTTTGAAATGGTGAAAGTTTATTATAAGTAGTTAATTGGACACTTTTCAGGTCTATAAATTTATATATAAATAGTTACCCTACATGCCCTAAACCCTACTGGAGGTTAACACTATGCGTCTTTATAAAAGAATAATAATGTAAATAATTAGGCCTAGTTCTGTTTTCATGTCAGGCTTTAAGTTAAGGTATAAGTTCACTTAGTTTATTTAAGTAGGCCAACAGTGTGCACATTGAATAAATGATTTTATGTTATTGTTAAGAGTGGCTTTGGTTATAAATACTAGAACATAATGTTTTAAATAAACAGGATATAATTGTATATATTTATAATAAATGTATTTACAGTAAAGAATAGATGAATGCATTATCAGTACTTCATGTTTTGAGCATTATAAATGGCTTGAAAAAGAAGAAGATTACATCTGAAGGCTCTGAATATTGAGTAATTTGACCGGACTTCACCGGACCATTATCACAGGGAGTTTGGTGTACCATATTAAGAAGATTGACTCTGAAGGCTCTGAATTTTGAGAAATTTGACCGGACCATTATCTCAGGGAGGTTGGTGTATTATGGAAACGCAATCACCAGCTCTTTTGGGGAAATCTTAAAAAGTTATTCAGGTCTACGATGAAACACTGAAACCATTGCATCATAATCATGAAACCCTTAAACCATTGTATCATCATCATGAAACCCTTAAACCATTGTATCATAATCATGAAACCTTTAAACCATTGTAACCTAATCATGAAACCCTTAAACCATTGCATCATAATCATGAAACGCTTAAACCATTGCATCATGATCATGAAACCCTTAAACCATTGCATCATGATCATGAAACCCTTAAACCATTGTATCATAATCATGAATCCCTAAAACCATTGCATCATAATCTGGAACCCTTAAACCATTGCATAATGATCATGAAACCTTTAAACCATTGTATCATAATCATGAAACCCTTTTAAACTATTGTGTCATGATCATGAAACCCTTAAACCATCGAAGTGGTTATGCGCAGCCGACTGCATATAACCCTGAGAGTTATACGCAGTCGGCAAGTCACGTGAGGTCTATATTCTTCCTGTGTTACAGTATCTATCGATAAAGATGCTTTGTTATGAGGGTGACTACGTGGTCGAATGGTATAAACTGAGCAACTCTCAGGTTGGAGGACTTGAGTTCAATTCCAACCAAAGGCCAGCCATGAATATGTGTTAGTTGTTATGATTGTTCTCGAGAATGAAGCAAAAACAGCTAGGCTAATTGTTTTATTTTGTTTTGCCTAAAAAATGTTAAAACATGATAAGAATTATTAACTTGACCAATGTAATGTTAATAATGTTATTATTATATTTATCAAATATATGTTTGAGTTGTTAACATATGTTTTGTGTTGTTAACTAATTTTGTGGCAGATAAAATCATGTTTCTCTGGCACAGTAATAAATATAATCAGGGGTGGAGAGTTGCATTGAAAAATAGCTGTAGGGGCAGGGGTTCTTTAGAGGGGGCACTTAAAGTAATACTTTCACACAGTTATAGTTTTGCATGGAAGCTGAAAACGGTTACATTTAGGTCAACAACAAAAAACAAAAAAAAAATATAAATAATATAATTTAAAAAAAAATAAATAGAATGTTTTCCTGAATTAGTCAGTAAAACCAACTACATGGTCATAGCAACATATAAAAACCTAATCAATCAGAATACAGAACTAGACTTAGACCATGGAAATGCCTTTTAAAAAATCTTCTTCTTAAGAAATGTAGACTTTGATTTAGACTTATAATTATAATATATAAGATACAAGCAATAATACTAATAATAATACTAATACTATTACTATCATTCAATATTAATTAAAATTAATTCAATTAAAATATTACGTTAAACACATTAAAAGTTATAGTTCAAAACAACCCATCATGCGGCTAATTACGCATAATACTTTTTTTAAATTGCCAAACTAGCGGTAATAAACCTTATTTGGCTAAATTCCCAGCCGACTGCGTATAACGCTTCCCTTAAACCATTGTATCATAATCATGAAACCCTTAAACCTTTGTATTATCAACATGAAACCTTTAAACCATTGTACCATAATCATGAAACCCTTAAACCATTGTATCATAATCATGCTCAGTTTACTCTTTTATTTTTATATCATCTCTTCCACCTCTCATCCCCTCCACCAAAAAAACAACAAACCCTTCATAAACCATATACCAATCCTACATCTCAACCCTATATACCAGCCCTGCACCTTACCCCCCCCCCCTAACCTTCACATAAGCCCAAAACCAACCCCACACCTTAAACCCCTAACAACCCTTCACCTCAACCTAAAAACACCTCAAACCCACCCCTCCACCAAAAAAACAACAAACCCTTCATAAACCATATACCCATCCTACATCTCACCCCTATATACCAGCCCTGCACCTTACCCCCCCCCCCTAACCTTCACATAAGCCCAAAACCAACCCTACACCTTAAACCCCTAACAACCCTTCACCTCAACCTAAATACACCTCAAACCCCTCCAAACTCTACACCTCAATCCCCTCCTAATTCTGTGCCTCAAACCCTCACCAACCTTGCACCTCAGACATCTGCCAACCCTGCACCTCAACCCTGTACATCAACCCCCATACCAACCCTGCATGGCAGACTCCACTTACATTATTTAAACTCCAGTTTAGCACCTGTTTACTTTATCTTACTTGAGTCTTCATAACCCTGGTGTTGATGGATTAAGAGTTTAAGATATGGTTTGGAGTACACTCTGTAGACCATTGGGATGCTAATTCAAAGGGTTATCAGGCTTGAGTTTGGGAGGGGTACTGGATGATTAACAATAAGTTAAGGCCTAGGTGAACTGTCCTCAGACACCAGAGCCCTAACCATCAGAGTCAGATTAAGGGTGGGGTACTCTTGAGCATATACACTCCATACAAACTGATAATTTTTCAGCTTATATTATATTTTCTCAATTCCAATTTGTTATTGGTGTCCTATGTTTTGTCCCTTCCCTTTCTATAGTAGGCCTAATTATAATAATATGAATAAACTATTGGTCCTGGCTCATGACTTTTGATTTTCTGAACTTTCAGAGGGAAAGTGATTGTATCAACTTCATTCACATAGAAATGTGTTACAGCAAATAGGTTGCAGCTTTTGGTACCTATATGTGCTTTGATTGCAGGGAGGTGGCTTCTAACAATTATGTCCCTAAGACTCTTGTCCCTCTAGAAAGCTAAAAGGAGAGGTTTTTTTCTTCGAAAATCTGATTAGGGAAAGGGTTTGCCATACTGATGGATCTTTAAGAACTAGGTAACGAGTCATAAATAAACTTGCTGGGAAGGAGAGATGTTATGAATTTATCTCATTGTTTTATATCAGACACTGATTTGAATTATATGATGTGCTATACACAACTAAATTTCCTGATTATTTTCATGTGGTTATTATGAACAGTCATTCTTCACTCTACCATTTTATTAATCCTTGTTGTTTTTAATAAGCAGTGAATTTAAAAAAAATCTTAATTCAGCTAATAAAATTTAAATGTTCATCAACACATTTTTTAGAGGATTTTCATGTCCTTATCCCTACATTTATTTGCCAAGTACCACCTAGTGAATGTGTTAGCATCATTTTACTGTACGCTGTTGCCACTATTTTTTTCTTACCATGTGGTAGTGACTCGGCAAAATGTACACTTTGCAAACTATGAGTCCATATTTACAAAGCCAGTGCAGCAAACAAAGTCCCTGCTTATAAAAAATAAAGTAACACATGTTCCTGGAATGGATAGATGACTTATTACTTTATTATTTTCAATAAGTATTTATTTAAATAAGTATTTATATATCTTCAGATTATTTTTTCAAATTCCTTAAGATCATTTTCATGGTTGGGTGTACACACCGTTTGGCATACCTTTTTATATTTCATTTACGCAACATAATGAATAATGTCACTGACATTTCTATAACTGTAACAAACCAGTGTTCCAGACTTTAAAAAGTGGGTTAAAGAATGGTGTTATATGACTTGTACTATGGATTGACCTTTTTTTTTTATTTCTAGGTCATCTGACATGGTTGACAAATCACTGCTTAGAAAATGCTTATTCACTGACCTTATTTCACTCCTTGTGTATAGCTGGTTTCTAAGGATTACAAGGCATACATTATTCTATTCTACTATAAGCAGCCACACTTAGATATAGTTTATCGAAAGCCCTTTAGAAACTTGGTGTTATGTTATCTTTGACCTGTGGCTTCATATTTCAAGAAATGAAAACAAGTTAGGCTACTAACTGCAGCATTTAAAATGTTTCCTTTTAAAGATGACCAGTGTCTACTAATTGAACTTCTGACTTGGTAATGATTTTAAATGGCCCTCAAGATTGATGAATAATTTTTCGAACTCATTTCAAAATGTTTCCATCCAAATCTCCTTAACTAATATTCCTTAACCCAGCATATTTTTAAAAAGGCTTACAGCATAAAATATGTTATCAGTAATGTCAATTCTTAATTGGGATGATTTTTTTTTATCACTTTTTAATTTGTTGCTATCTGATATTTCATTGATTGGTAAATGTGATGTCATCATCTGTAGCAATCCTTTCATTTTTAGTCAATTGGTTGTTGTTTTTTTTAATGTGTTTATAAAAATTTGCCTTAATTTCAAATGATTTAAAGTGCTGAATTACATTTACCAAAAAATAACCCCCACTTACGGTACTGTCACAATAGAGAAAACTTCTTTAAACTCATACAATTAAATAAGCAAAGCATTTCTGTAAATTGTAAAATATTGACATTTCTTTAGCTACAGCCCTTGAACTGTTCAAGGATAGGGCACTTAAGAATCATGAAATTTAAAACATCTTCAGCTACGTCTTTGCCAGCATTGCACTTCAACCATGCTGGAAATCTATTTCATTACTTTTGTAACCATTCACATCTCACTTACTTTTAAGGGATATAACCTCTTGTGATATTTTATGCTAAAACTAATATCATATACTGATGTAACTGTGATGTAACATAAAGTAAATTTGTTTGAATTTTTTTCATGAGGCACAAAAACTGACAATTTTACAGACTGAAAAGATACATATTTTAGTGTTTTTCTATCAAAACTTTTTATGTAAAAAATTTTTTTTTAGAAATTTTCTTTTTTTAAAACTTTATAGACTATATAAGTATATATGTAGTTTAAAACTAGTGAAGGTAAATAACTTGAACAAAATTAACATCAGTGCTAAGAATCGTTGTTGATTTATGAGATTCTGTATTAAATACAAATTAATTCCAAAATACTGCTTGTTTGAAGACAGTCACTTATGATGAAGATTCACTCACACCCCTTCCCTATATTTTATTATGATAATTCATGGTTGCATAGCAGTACCATTGATAATATTAGCTGCACTAGGCCTACTAACTTCTTCACACAAAACTTCACATCAGAACAAATGTTAGAAAAGTTTATAGAGAACATGTCATTAAACTGGATCACAAAAATCAATCACTAATCGATTTCCAGATATGAGTGTTGATAAAAGAAGTTAATGATACAGTGGGTTGTTACAGCTAACATTCCAGTGAGCTTAAACAGTTCCCAGATCTGATACTGAACTTATCAAAGTTTTTGAGTAGAAATGCTATTACTTAATTCTTTCTTATCTGGCATTTAAATCTTTGTTCAAATATGGAATTTGAAATAATATTAAGTCAATGAACAATTAGTTCCATGAATTGTTTAAAATACTGGGAACAAAAAACAACCTTTCATTTTATTCAAATTATATTTACATATTGAAATAAAAAATGAATGAATTGTGTCTTTATTTTTATGGTATAATACCAATATAATGTGATTGGTAAAAAGGTATTGGTGTTGCATCATAGCTGCTAAACATGCAGAGCAAGTAGCTAAGTGCATTTTAAGCTCTGATAATCAGACATTTTAATTGGTATCAACCATATCCATAAGTCTTAAATATGGCATTTCATTAGGCCAGTGGTTCTAAACCTTCCTAATGCCTCAACCCTTCATTACAGTTCCTCAGGTTGTGATAAACCCCAGCCGTAAAATTATTTTCGTTACTACTTCATAAATATATGTTTTCCGATGGTCTTAGGTGACCCCTGTGTATGGGTCAAAGGGGTGGCATCCCACAGGTTGAGAACCGCTACATTAGGCGTATCAAGATAAATTCATTATAAATGATTTACTTCATCACCCCATTTGTTGTGAGTCTAGCGGGGATCATATCTGCCATATGCTGCATGGTGGTGCTGACCCCAAGTCTAAAAGTTGACATCAATATCAATTTGTGCATAATCTTAAATAATTCATATTTTAAAATTTTGCTGAAACTTAAAATGTTGAATGCATTAAAGGAGACATTAAGACAAAACCCAAGTCTTATTTTGACATTAAGTTTAAGAAATAACTAAACACCTGTCAATAAATCTGTTTCAGTCAACTCAATCCTGTTAAAAATCCTCAATAAGATAAAAACTTATTTAGATTGCTATTTTATCTATGGTTTTTAGTTTTATTTACTATAATACAAATATGACATATTTTGTTAGTACAATTAATTAACTTGATTAATTGTTTTCTTTCACAAAATAATATATAGAATCTGATCTGGGTTGAAGGCATAGATGACAAATGTCAGTTTATTGCCATAGGCTGATCTCTTAGGTTTTTTTTTTTAAAACTTTGGGACTTGTGTTTATTGACTAATATAACATTTTTTTTTATTTTCAGTCTTTTTACTTGCATTTTCCAGTTATTTTTTATTATTCACCCTCTTTATTTTTCACTCAGGATCTTGACCTTCTTCTCAATAACACCTGGCCAGAGTTCACACCATGTTTTCAGAACAGTCTGATAGTCTGGGTGCCATGTGGGTTTGTGTGGCTGATCCTCCCAGTTTATCTCATTTACCTCTTCAATTATGCAGATGGGATCAGGCTACAGGCCAACAAGCTCAATGTATCCAAAATGGTAAAAATAAAACCAGCTTACAGAATTTAAAATGTATAATTTTACCTTCTACTTATATGTAATATGTATAGGATTGTTATTTTTTTTTCATATTTGATCCTGTTTCTTTAAGTAGAGGTGCTGACCCCTTGTCTATAAGTGAGATCAATATAACTTCATACATAAATTCGAATGTATCCATTTTTCAAACTTTATTTAAACTTTATATTGCCTTAGAGTTTTAAGATTTGCTCTTGACTAGACAAAAAGTAATTTCACTTTCAAAATATTTTAATTTGTATGAAACATTTGTTCAATATTCTCCAGATTATCAGTTTCCTGTTGTGTGTGATAGCTGTGATTGACACAATTAAGGCAGAGCCAGACTCTCGTAATCTCTCAGACAAAATTCCAGATGTTGTCTATTTGTCAGGTGGCATCAAGGCAGCTACTTATGTAAGCGTTGCTGTTTTGTCATTCAAAGATAATTGTGTTGGCAAAACTCACCATTTTATAAAACCTCCTCCATTGCACACACAAAATAAAATTAATAAATTAGAAATCATTTATTATTTAATCTAGTTTTAACCTCACTGACTCTAGTAACGGGCAAATGATGTCAAATACTTTCACAATTTTTGTTTGACTAATGGACGCTAGTTACTTATCAGAACTGCTGGCTGCAGAATAATTTTAATTTAATTAGTTATTTATTTAAGAACTATCACTGTAAGAAAAATAAATTTGTAAAAAATATTAATTTCTTGTGGGGATGGGTTTAGAAATAAAATTACATTTTTTCAGATGCTGTCTGTCATTTTCATGCACATTGAAAGAGTTAAGGGAATTATTACATCTGGAGTGTTGTGGTTGTTTTGGACGTTGACCCTTTTGGGAAATATAATACCATTTTATACTAAAATATATCTTAAGGTAAGCACTTGTAAAAAGCAGCTTTAATATTTGAATGCATAATTTTAAAAGAAAGATTAACATGTTCGAAGTCTTTAAATTGTATTCAATTTAATACATTTAAAGATCTGAAATTAACCTGTGAAAAAAAATATTTTGGTCCACTTTTTGTTATATAAACCTAAATTGTTATAGAATGCAATATTATAAATTCTGCTTTTAAAAGTATCTTTAAGTACCCATTTATTATTACTTTGATTTAGTTATCTAGTTAGAAGCAGTGAATTCTATATTAATTTAAGCATTATTTTTTTTATATCTTTATTTCCAGGATTATGACAAACATCTTTTCTCATTTGTCCTTTTCTACATCTACTACACATTGTTGCTGCTGCAGTTTGTACTGTCTAGTTTTGCTGAGAGAATGTCCCGTCGTGGTTACCTCTACTTGGGGGAGGTAATGTTATTTGAAATAGTGTGATGGAGCTTTGCACTAAACAAATGAAAATGATTTTGTCACAGGAAGTATGGGAAAAACTGAAAAAAGGATGCAACAAAACAACATACACATCGACAAGAAGCCTTCTTCAGCAAAAAAAACAGTGAAAGCAATATAAATTTTTTTAAAAAATCACTTAGCTGCAATTTTGTATCTGGAGGAAAACAAGAGGAATTTTGCAGTCTTCTTTGAATTCGCTGTCCTCTCAGATACTACATTGTGGCTAAGAGTTTTTCTTTTTAATTTTATATTGTTTTTACTGTTGTTTGTTCACTGAAGAATGTTTTGTGCCAACACATTAGTTGTTTTTTTTTTCGTCTCTTTTTTTTCAGGTTTGCCCATACTTTGTTTCACTCATTTCCTTTTATCTAACCTGATTGCAGTGTCTCCCCCTCTTTACCTATAGCTAACAGCATTTATTCCCATTGCTTGTATTTAAATATAATTTGAAATACAGTTTGCATCAATCATAGATCAATATTAGCAAGATATATTTTGAATTTTTTGTTTTTTAAATGGCGGTCATCCTAAACCTTTATCTCTTAAAGTTATCGAATAAATATCAATTTGAAATTGTGAAAATTAACATAAATTAAATTTTTGTCTTCTCATCTAATTATTTTCAGAAGCCATCTCCTGAGGTGTCAGCTTCTTTCCCTAATAGATTGACATTTTGGTGGATGAACGGGTATGTCTTTTTAAATATTAAAGCAGTGGTCGGCAAACTCGTTATTCAAAAGAGCCAAAAATCAGCAGGACAATTAAAATTAATTTGAGATTCAAATTTCTTTTCAAGAACCTGTCAATAATCATGTTTTTGGAGTCAAAACTGATTTGTGGCGAACTGGCAGAGCCGTACTCAGGTCGCTATAGCGCCGCATGTGGGCCCGACCACTGTATTAAAGAAACAAAACAAAAGTGACCATGTCAATTTTATGATATTGTACTCCAGAATCAAAAATTTCTTTGAAAGAAAAATGTATGGATCAAAAAAATTGAATTGACCTTTAAATTGTTTAATGTTTGTTTTGTTTTCCCAGTCTTGTTTTCCGAGCTTACCGTAAAGGTCTGAAAGAAGATGATCTGTTTGAGCTTCATCCAAGAGATAAAGGGGAGAGGATAGTGCCTCAGTTTGAGAAGGCTTGGCAGGCAGAGCTCACTGCTGCCAGGATAAAGAAGAAGTAATTTTTTTAAAATATTATGACTGCACACTGAAAACATTTGTTTAGGAAATATTTACCCTTTAATTAAGGGCTGATCATATACTTAAGATTATTTAACTGTTTCAACATGTTATAATAATGATAAAGCAAAAGTTTAATTTGTTGACCAAATCTACATTTTCACATTCGCAACTGAATATTTTTCATTATCAATTAGATATAGATCATTAGCACATGTCACAATTAAGTATTTTAATAATTTTTTTTAGTTATTAAAATTAAACTTATTAAACTTTCATCTTCTATGTTTGATATTATTGAAAGAGAAAAGATCATAGCAAAACTTAAACGTATGTTTTTCAAAGTTGTCAGTGTATATTATTAGAATCACAAATGATTCATATTATCCCTGAAATCCAAAACCAATATTTTTTTTAATTAAAAATTCCACATTGTTTATTTCAACCAGACAACAGGATGAAAAGCAAAGAGTAGAAAACGGTTATGCATCATTTTATCGCAGTGGCAGAGACCATGATGTCAAGATTGAGACACATGAAAAAACACCACTCATGAGCAATGGGGGCACTTCCACATCATCTGCTAAAGATAAGAAGGCGGAAAATAAAGATTTGCTGCCAGCTTCTCTGTTGAAGGTTTATTTTTATTTTAAAAATATATAAAAATTTTAAAACACTTTTTTTTTAAAGCCTACTCAGAGAAGATTATTATCAATGTACCTGAAATGCCAGTGAAATTTTAATTTCTGTTACCTGGTTGCTGATAAATAAGCCTTAATTGGGTGTAAGGATGGATTTATACCTGGTTGCTGATAAATAAGCCTTAATTGGGTGTAAGGATGGATTTAGTATATGCCTTTAAATTAAATTAAAAAATATATCTGCAATTTCTTTCTTATATGAATAGGTTGTAGAATATTAACATGCTTAAAAGATTAAATCAGTTGAGGAAAAGAATAAAGAAATAATTGACCTACGTTGCAATTTTAAAAAGAACTAATTATAAAAAGTGTTCAAACAAACAAATTGTGTCAATATAACAACATTAGTTATTAAAGCGTAATATACAATAATTATACATTACACACAAGTAAACATTTCGGCATATGCCTTCATCAGTTCATTGTGAGACAGTTGACTAAAAATATAAAAAATATATTACCCTTTGTACTCCTGTTAATATATTTTATTTGAAAATAACCAGGTATTGGCTAAAACATATGGTCTTGATCTACTTATGGCACATTTCAACAAGTTTGTCTATGATCTGCTGCAGTTTGTCAGTCCTTTGTTGTTAGGGTAAGTTCTTAACATTCATGTTGGGTAAAAAATGAGGATAAGTTGGTCACATTAAATAAATAGATAATTATTATTCTCATTTGAACAGTTTATGTTTAAATGCTAAATTTTAATACTAATATCCATATTAATATAGTCTTTAAAAGTTTTTATTATTTTTGTTAGGTTTGAATTCTTAATTATTATTTTTTTCTATTTTTTTAACCCATATTTTTTAAATTCTTTCTAAATTAACAAGTAGTTGAGTAATTACAATTTGCTGACTGTTTCCAACAGTGTCCTGATAGACTACACCCAGAGCAAGAAAGCAAGCAAAGAGCAGCACCAGGAATGGAAGGGATATGTTTATGCCTCATCTTTTTTTGTAGTGTCCATGCTTGGTTCCATCATGTTTAATCAGAACTTTCATATCGGCATGACCTTGGGAATGAGGATCAAGGCAGCCCTGATTGCTGCTGTATATAAGAAAGTGAGATGTAATGTAGATTTGTTAAAATATGTTTTTTTTTTCAAATAATGGCTAAAAGAATAATGGGAATAAAAGATTATTCATCTGGAGATAAATATAGATTAGAACGTTTGTTTTTCAAATTGTTGTCACAACATTGTACACATTATAAAAATACTGTTCACAAAAATGGCTTCATATTTAATGTATGTTTAACTTCAGGTATTCCCTTTAAAGGACTTTCTTTAAAAAAATGCTACCGAATTATGGTGGAAATATAAATAAAACAAATTCACTTTTGAGCTCAGGCTAGACAACAATGTGGCATTCATTTGGAGAGGTGCTCATCTATTTTAACAGCCTGAATTTTTTATGTCCCAGAGTCTCACAATCAGCAATGAAGCTAAGAAAGAAACAACAGTTGGAGAAATTGTAAACCTCATGTCAGTTGATTGTCAGAGGATGCAAGATGTCACTGGATACCTCTGGATGTTGTGGTCAGCACCTTTACAGGTACAATTCATAGATTTCAATCACAACATATATAAAATACATTAGATATTGAAACACATAAACGGGCAAAAATAAACAGTGAATATGAGTGTTGGGAATATGAATTCATTTAAAATCCACAATGTCAAGAATTTAAAAAAAAAACTCAATTAAAGACTGGAAGGTATGTAAAGTTTACATTTATCTAAAATACTTTCAAAAAATGTCTAAGAATGAGGGTTACTTATAATTAAAGTACGCATTGTTAATTTTTATCAGTTTTTTTTTATTATAAGAAGTCATTTTAATTTACTTGCTAACATTTCCGGTGACCAGCGATATAGTAAGCACTTTTAAATAACAAATGCTCATCACTATGTTTTTTTCTTTTATTTTACATTCAATATACATAAATCTCATGCCTAGATCACACTAGCTCTCTACATGTTGTGGGATGTGATGGGTGCGGCCACGTTGGCCGGCCTGGGCGTGATGATCCTCTTGATGCCAGTCAATGGTTTCATTGCCATGAAGCAGAGGAAGTATCAGATCAGCCAGATGAAGTTCAGGGACCAGAGGATCAAACTCATGAGTGAGGTGCTCAGTGGCATTAAGGTAGGAGTGTTTTTTTTATACATTTAAGGGATTTATAAAAGGTACAAGTAAGGAATAGTTCTATTAAAGACAGACAAAGGCTTTCAGGTGGAAAAATGCTGGCATTTGTTTTTTCTTAATGAAAGCTTAAGACTATTTTATGTTATTTGTAATCAGTGCTGTAAGGCAAATTATAAAATGCTATACCTTGTGTGGTTTTTTCCTTTTCATAAATCCAATCTTGATTAATTCATTATCTTGTTTTGTGAATTATTATTAATGCGTGTTTATTGTTATCACTGTAATTAATCTAAGAACAATAATATATGATTACTTGTTACTTTTTATGGCTTTGAAATTTCATGTTGTTGACATTATTTTAGGTACTCAAACTGTATGCATGGGAACCATCATTTCAAGTCAAAGTTGAAGAAATCAGACAAAAAGAATTAGATTTACTCAAGAAAACAGCTTATCTCAATGCATTCTCTACATTTTGCTGGACATGTGCCCCTTTTATGGTTCGTTAAATAAAAATTTAACACTTTAAATTTTACATTTCACAGATAACAATGTGTGTGATGAATTCAATCTTGTACAATTAAATATCTATTGAACTTTCAAATGTTGGATTCTTCAAACTCCAATTATAAAAACAAACCTCACTATGTCCTAATGCTTTTTTAACTGTAACATAAACATTATAATACCTTAAGAATGAGATTTTAACTTTCACGAATCTACAAAAATATAATAATGATTTTTTTTTTTTTTGGTGTTTTTTTTCCAACAGGTTACGTTAGCCACATTTGCCACCTATGTCTTGGTGTCTGATTCCCACTATTTGGATGCCACCAAAGCTTTTGTGGCACTTTCCTTGTTCAACATTTTGAGATTCCCCATCAACTTACTGCCAATGATGGTTTCATTCATAGTTCAGGTAAGGATGGTTTCATCCAATGATTCTCAAAAATTTGAGTTACAATTCAAAGAGAAACAAAAATGCAGAGTAAATATGGAGTTATTATAAGTATACCTTTTTTTTTTTTTTTTTTTTTTTTGTTTTTTTGGATCTTTGAATACCATAGATTTAATTTTTAAGAAAAGGGAACTTAAATAATTCAATACATTATTATCAGAAGTTTACGAAATATAGTGTACATTAGAAGCAATATTATATATTATATATATTATAATATATTATAATAAATTATATAATAATATATTACATTATAAGGAAGTAATAAATTACTTTTAAAAATTAGGTGATATCTGTTCTCATTATTTTATCTCCATAACATTTTTTCTGTTGATTTATTTGATTTTAACAAAGGTAGTGAGTATTTTTGGCTTATAATGGGAGGGCAAAAAAAAAACTTTATTATAATTAGCCTTTTTAGATTTTTTACTTCATGTTATTGAAGACTGTTTTTTTTTTTTTGAAATCTCTCCATCAGGCAATGGTTTCTTTGAAACGTATTGGTAAATTTCTAAGACAGGAAGATTTGGACTCTGATAGTGTTCAATTTAACCCCAATGTCAGTAAGTATCCACTATTGATTTGGGTACAAATTTCTATAAAATATTTCACCATTGCAAAATTTGGAATTAAAAATTTTAAAGACAAGATATAATAAATAAATAGTGTACATGCAGTTTTATTTAGTTGAGGTTCAATGTTTCTGTAATATTTTAATAGTTGTATGTTAAGCCAATTGAATTTTTAGCTCTTTCTTTATGCAAATATCATATTCTGTTTTTAAAAAACTCCATACTTTCCACACAAAAATTGGATCTAGCTCCTATTCCTAAAAATCTTTAAATTTCAAGCTAACTCTATGAACTAGACTGAGATTACGCACACAGGCTTTTATGTTTTAACAATTATTGTACTTGAAATTTTGTAATACTTCAATTTCATTACATAAAAATATTGAAAAAAAACGTAAGAATTTTACATCCTTTTGCCAACTCTGATAGAGATTCTGAGATATCAGTTTTTTTTATTTTTTAAAATAAGCCTATGCTCAAATTTAATATTTTAAATAAAGCTAAATTTTGAAGTTTTATCTATTTCAGATTCTGCAGTTAAAATCAATAAAGGAGTCTTTACATGGGATAAATCACATGTCACCCCAACTCTTGCTAAGTAGGTCAAGTAATACATTAATGTACAAATGAACAATGTTGTTTGCAGAATAATATAATAAGTACATAGTTATTTGTTTTTTAGACATGAAATTTAAGTTCATGAAGATGAGGTCATAAATTGCTTTTGTTTGGTAATGTTGTGAGCATTTAAGAATATTTGAGTCTCATTTTTTTTAAAGCATTAACCTTGACATTCCTGTGGGCCAATTGATTGCCATTGTTGGCCAGGTTGGCTCAGGCAAATCCTCTCTCATATCGGCAATGTTGGGTGAGATGGAAAAACTTCAAGGGGAGGTCACAATAAAGGTAGATTTTTAAGACTTATTCAGATTAGCACCAATGAAAATGTATTTACAATTTAAAGCTGTTCAAATTCTTTCCTTTTTATTTCACATGAAATAAACAAACATTTTGAAAAGTGAATTATTGCACACTTACATTTTTTGAAATAATAAAGTCTATGGGCTTTTCTTCTTAGCCTAAATAAATAGCATTGTAGAATAATAAATATGTTGAATAAAAAAACATATCAACAATTGATATATTATAAAAAAACTTTTGTTAATTCTTATTTTGCCCCATGATCAACTATTTTCAGTCAAGCATAGCCTACGTGCCTCAACAAGCTTGGATCCAGAATGCAACTCTGAAAAGCAACATCCTGTTTGGAAAAGAGGAAGATCACACGACATATGATCATGTGTTGGAGGCCTGTGCTCTTAAACCAGACCTTGAAATCCTACCTGGTGGAGATTTGACTGAAATAGGAGAAAAGGTATTTGATGTTTATTTGTTTATTACCTTTCAAATAGCATCATATTGTTTGTGAACTATCTCATGGCTATTGGGCAAGTTTTAAATAAAATGATCTTATAACTTAACTTGAGTTTGTTACCATTAAAGAATTTAACAGCAATTTTGAAATTTAAATCCTTTTTTTTTTTGACTTCTTGTACTTCTTGTAACCTTACAATAGGAAATATAATATCTAAATAATGAGATTTTTTTTCTTGCTCTTTTGCTTATTATAAACTGTTAAGTTAATAATAAAAATGAACCAGTTTTTATATATTTTGAATTATTTTAAATTTATTATTGTCCTTCAAAATTATTATTTTTTCTATAACAGTTATGTACACGCACTTCAGCTGTTGAAAATGAAATTTTAAAAAATTGACAAAATAACTAAATTTAAAGCTGTTAAGGATGACAAAAAGATCATTTCAAAGCAAAATGTAGTCTAATCTTTTTCTTTTTCTCTGTCCCAATTGTTTAGGGGATTAATTTAAGTGGCGGCCAAAAGCAGCGAGTGTCCATGGCTAGAGCGGTTTACAATGATGCAGATATCTATCTGTTGGATGACCCTCTGAGTGCAGTGGACTCACATGTTGGGAAGCATATCTTTGAACAGGTTATTTCATCAGACAAAGGATTACTGAAGGGAAAGGTAACTATGATTATAAGGTGAACCGATTATAATTATACCTTTTTGTGACAATGTTTTACAGTAAACATTTTCCTAACATCGGTCCAAAACAGTGGCTCTCAAAACATCAGTGAGTTGGCTAGTGGCTCATACCTTAGCTGAACAGGCGAGGAAGTAGAATGGAAAGAAGTACCATAAATACGGATGCTGAAAATTGATGAGACGGAGAGGCTAATTCATCTTACTTGGGGCATTTTTTTGATTTATCAATCCTTCATACGATCTTACTTGAGTGCCCAAAATCTATAAAATATTTTGTCATTCATTTGTTACATTAATAGGTGGAGGCTACATTGGAATAGGAACTGTTAGTTTATTTAAATTTAACAATTAAATATTATTAATATATATACATTGGAATAGGAACTGTTAGTTTATTTAAATTTAACAATTAAAATATTCAGACAGGTCTGTAGAAAGCATTTACTCTAATGCGGACATAAAAATAATATTTCATCATTGTACTGCACTCACTGTTAATAATTTCTTTATTCTTTTTCAAAGACCCGAATTCTCGTGACCCATGGAGTCCACTGGCTACCCCAGGTGGACAAAATTGTTGTAATGACTGATGGACACATATCAGAAGTGGGCTCGTATGAACAACTCTTATCACACGATGGAGACTTTGCTCAGTTCCTGAAGACGTACCTGACGCAGGACAACAGCGATGATGAGCAGGAGGATCCAGAGAGTAAGATTACCTTAAGAACTATTGAACATTCCTCACAACTTCACACGCTGTTCTGAAAAGTAATGTTAAAAAAACATTTCATTTTTCTACAATAATAATAAAAGTAAAAATTGGCACTGTAACAGGTTCACAAGTAAAAGATCAATAGAAAGCGTTTAGTAAAAAGAAAAGGGGGCAAAAGGATGCAACAGTTAAGAAATGTTTTTTCCTTTTGAAGAGTTAGTGGGTTAAAAGCATAAGATTGGAGTATTGACAATAATAATTCTGTATCTACAAAATACTTGAAAAACTAGTTGAATAATTTATTTTTTTTGCAGTTGCTGCAATCAAAGCTCAGATTCTTGAGAAGGTTGAAAATGTGACTTCTGATGTGACTTCTGGGGATGAGAAAATTAAAAGGTAACATCACTCTTGATCTTTACATTTGTATGATTTATGTTAGCAACTTATGTTGTAAGGAGACAATGTTTTTTTTTTTTTGTGAACTAATTGTTGATTTTGTTTAAACAGCTGTTTCCAGATTCATAAGCCTTAACCACCATTTAAATATTCTATTTAAAATTAAAAATACTTGGTCCAACCTGATTCACGTGGCTTAAAAGAAAAATAAATATTTTTGAAAATACCCAAATAATTTGGTGATTTCATTTTATTAATGATGTGGCATTTATTTGAAGACTATTTGACTATTTTTTACAAAGTATGGCGTAACATAATTTTCCTATATCATTGGCTAAGTTTTAAATATAAAGCATTTGATGAGCAGCTAATCTTGACTTTGCTATTCCAAAAGCCCTCATAAGGCAGCGAGGCAATATAGTAGACAGTTGACCACATCCTTGAAAGAGAAAGGTCCTAAAGAATCTGCCCAGAAAGAAGAAAAGAAACCTAAAGCTGGCATAGACTTGACAGAGGAAGAGAAGAGAGAAACTGGGACAGTAAGTCAGGCACATCAGTGTTGAATTTTGCGATTCATTGCTACTGGACTTAAAATTTTATGTCTTCATATTGAGTAAAATTTTGTTCATGTCATTGATTGACTCCTAATTTATAATATCTTGTATTTTAGTTTATGAAATATTCTGCCTTTCAAAACCTGATAAAATAATTTTCAGTCAATCTTTAATTATTCATTGTTAAATTACTATGTTGAATAGTAACCTTTTTTTGTTTGAAAGGACAAATGTACATTTTAGGGTATTAAAAAATGTAACTATCAGTCCACCAGCCCACAGGCTGGTTTTTACTTTTTACACCATTGCTTAACATTAAATCTTAAATAAATTTATTCATTTGTTTTTAAAATATGAATTCAACTATTCATTTTGAATATTTATTCATTTTAGGTTAAGTATTCTGTATTCCTGGTGTACTTCAAGGCTATCGGGTATGGTGCCACCATTTTCTTCTTTGCATTCTTTGCGGCTTACCAAGGCGTGAATGTTTACTCTAGCATATGGCTGTCAGACTGGACAGCTGATGACATACTTACAAACAGAAGCCTGGCCAACACCAGCAAGTACCAGGATAGGAATGATTTGTACCTGGGTGTCTATGGAGGTCTTGGAGCCGCTCAAGGTAATGTTTTAAATCATAGGAACCTTAAAAAAAAATCCTGCATTATCAAAGTCCATAGTTTCAAAGTAGGCAAAGTAATTATTAATTTAGCAGCAGTATCTCTAATTTTTAGCTCTGAATATTTTTTGCTGTCTGAAATATACACAATTATTTTATCAGTATCAATAAATTAATCAACATTTTTGTTTTATATTAGTTTATCTGCTTAACCAATGTAATTGTATGAAATAATATTGCCCAAATTATAATTATTTATTTTCCCTTTCTTCATGGGTAGAGCCCATGTGACGTTGTTCCTTGACATGATTATAACATTAGATAGAAATGAGCGAAAAAAAGTAGGGAAAACCCTGAAAAAAAAGAATGCAACAAAAAAAGGAACATTTCGGCAAGAAGCCTAAATCGGCGAACAAACAGTAAAAACAGAATTAAATAAAAATAACACCTAGCTGAAATGTAGTAGCCCAGAGGACAGTAAGAGTAAAGTAGTTGTTTTGTTGCGTTTCTTATTTCAGGTTTTACCATACTTTGCTTCGCTCATTTCCATTTTTTTAACCTGATTGCAGTCTCTCCTCCTTATTTCCATAGTAAAATTAGAATTGGTTTGAACATTTTTAAACTTTCGTATAAATTCCAAAGGAAATTGTGCTCAAAATACATATTTTGTTTTCTTTCCCTCACAGCTGTCCTGATATTATTTTACTCCCTGATTGCCTCAATAAGAATGGTTAGAGCAGCGGGCAGCCTGCACAATGGAATGCTGGCTAACGTGCTACGGTCACCCATGTCCTTCTTTGACACGACACCTTCTGGTAGGATTGTCAACAGGTTCTCTGGAGATGTGGAGACGGTGGACAATACGCTGCCCCAGATGTTCAGAAGTTGGATGAATACATTCTTTGGAACACTGAGCACGATCATTGTTGTTAGTTACAGTACACCTATCTTCATGGTTGTCATAGTGCCACTAGGAATTTTATATTACCTTGTACAGGTAGGTGTAGATTTAAAACATGATCCATATTTTTGTATAATCAGACCTGTTTACTCTTACGATATTGGCGTACAATGTATGATTTTGAGGTGTATACATTATGTATACTGTATGTTTATTTTTTTAATATTAAGATAAATGTATTGAACGATTTTGTGATGATATTGTACGATTTTAAGAGTTTGATGGTAAACAGGTCTGTATAATGCATCTGAACAAGACTGCTTATTGATTAGTTTGTTAAAAGGGTCCAATTATCAGCCAGAATACTGCACTGAGATCTTTATGACTTAAAGTTTTGCCCCAGACATAATTTTCAAAGATCATTACATTGGGGCCTACATAACTATATCGTAACCTCTATTTACAATAATCATTCTCAACTCTAAAAATTTTGTTATGTAAGCAAAATACAAGCTATACACTTTTAAAAAAATAATTGTTAAACAACAGCTTAAACTGATGGTTCAATTTTAAACAAACTAATAAAAGGGTCCTCGTGGGAGATGCTGATCTTCTATCGAGCGCCTCCCCAGCCGGCGGATAGGGAAAAGCCCGCCAGATATGGAGGGTACCGGGTAAATAAAATACCCGGGGCGGACCAAAATCAGCCCTACTGCCTTGTAGGAAGTGGAGGGATCCACAAAGGCTAGGGACCTAACCCGAACAAAGGCAGCTACCCATTGAGCTGTGAGGGGCAACCCCCCAAGTGGTTGTGCGCAAGGAAAAAATCATAGTTACAAAAGCACCGAAAAGAGTAACAAAAGACATTTCAGTCCTGGGAGAGGATGGATTCCTTGAGGAGGAAAATATGACGCCTAATAGTGAAAGCCGAAACCTGGAAGCTATTAGGCCGACAACCATCATCTCTACCAGGACTACCACCGTCATTGGCGCTTGGAATGTCCGCACCATGTACGAGGCTGGTAAAGCGGCACAAATAGCCGCTGAGATGAGGAACTATAAGCTCACCATTCTCGGAATTAGTGAAGCAAGATGGACTGGATGGGGACAGAAGAGATTAATCTCAGGAGAGATGGTGATATTTTCGGGACACGAAGAAGACAATGCCCCACATACCCTGGGTGTTGCTATGATGCTATCAAGGGCAGCACAAGGAGCACTCATTGGATGGGAGGCCCATGGACCTAGAATTCTTTTAGTAACCTTTCGAACAAAGAAACGTAGCATCAACCTAGATGTTATACAATGCTACGCACCAACTAATGAAAGTGATGAAGGAGACAAAGAAGAATTCTACAATAGAGTAATGACCATAGTCCAGGGTCGCCCACGGAGGAACATCGTCATCCTCATGGGAGACTTTAATGCCAAGATCGGCAATAGCAACACAGGGTACGAAGAGGTTATGGGACAGCAAGGGATAGGCGAGATGAACGACAATGGTGAGAGGTTTGCGGACCTATGTGCCACAGCTGACCTGGTCATAGGGGGGAGCATTTTCCAGCACAAGAGGATTCACAAAGCTACATGGGTCTCTCCGGACATGAGAACGATGAACCAAATAGACCATGTATGTATTTGTAAAAAATTCAGGCGATCTCTCCAAGACGTACGTGTTAAGAGGGGAGCTGATATTGCCTCAGATCACCATCTTCTTGTGGCCAGGATGAAATTAAAACTAAAGAGACATTATACCGAGCAAACAGCATACAGGACTCGGTATAATACCTCCCTCCTGAAGGACCAAGCCAAAAAGGAAGAATTCAGAATCTCACTATTCAATAAGTTCCAAGTCCTACAAGAAATACTTGAAGATGAAACCACCGAAGGAAAGTGGCAAAGCATGAAAGAAACAGTCCAGTCAACATGTCAAGAAGTGCTAGGAAACAGGAAAAAGGCACACAAAGAATGGATGACAGCAGGTACGCTGAATAAAATAGAAGAAAGGAAAAGAAAGAAATCAGAAGTGAATAACAGCCGCACCCGAGCACAGAAAAACAAGTCCCAGAAGGAGTATGCAGATGCAAATAAGGAAGTTAAGAAAAGCATCAAGAGGGACAAGAAGGAATTTGTTGATAAACTTGCTAAAGAAGCAGAGGATGCAGCTCACCAGGGGAACATGAGGGAACTGTTTGATACCATTAAGACGCTGTCAGGGAAATTTAGCAAGGTAGAGAGACCAGTGAAGGACAAAATGGGAAACACCATACCAAGTGAGGAGCAACAGAGAGGGAGATGGAAGGAGCACTTTGAAGAGCTCCTGAACAGGCCTGAACCAAGAAATCCACCAGATATCCAACCAGCCGATAATGACCTGCTAATTGACTGTAATAGTCCCACCAAAGAAGAGATTAGCAGGGCCATTAAACAACTCAGAAATGGAAAGGCTGCGGGACCTGATGGCATCCCAGCAGAGGCACTGAAGGCGGACCTGGAAACCAGTGTGGAAATGCTACACCCTCTGTTTATGAAGATATGGGAAGAGGAGCAAGTTCCTTCCGATTGGAAAGAGGGATACCTTATCAAGATCCCAAAGAAGGGAGACTTAAGCTCCTGCTCGAACTACAGAGGGATCACCCTGCTGTCCATCCCAGGAAAGGTTTTCAACCGTGTACTACTTAACAGGATGAAAAACGCTGTAGACCCTCTGTTGCGGGACGAACAAGCCGGCTTTCGCACCAACAGATCCTGCACGGACCAGATAGCGACACTGCGCATCATTCTAGAGCAGTCACTAGAGTGGAACTCGCCGCTCTATGTCAACTTTGTTGACTATGAAAAAGCCTTCGACAGTGTTGACAGGCAAACCCTGTGGAGATTGCTAAGGCATTACGGGGTGCCACAGAAGATTACTGATATAATCAGAAACATGTACGAAGGGATAAACTGCCGAGTTATCCATGGCCAGCAGTTGACAGATGCTTTCCAGGTGAAGACTGGTGTGAGACAAGGTTGCTTGCTGTCACCATTCCTCTTCCTGTTAGCCATTGACTGGGTGATGAAAACATCTACACAGCAGAAAAGAAATGGCATCCAATGGACCTTGTGGGATCAACTGGATGATCTTGACTTTGCTGATGATCTTGCACTTCTTGCACATACCCAACAACAGATGCAGGAGAAAACAAACATTGTCGCAGCCACTTCTGCTAGCATGGGTCTCAACATTCACAAAGGGAAGAGTAAAATCCTCAAGGTTAATGCCACCAGTACATCACCCATTATGCTTGAAGGAGAAGCCCTTGAGGAGGTGGACAGTTTTGTTTACCTTGGCAGCATGGTAGATAAACAAGGTGGTACAGATGCGGACGTCAAAATAAGGATAGGAAAAGCAAGAGCAGCCTTCCAACAACTCAAGAATGTTTGGGTCTCTAACAACTTAGGCAGCAAGTTAAAAGTAAGGATTTTTAACGCTATGGTAAAACCTGTGCTGCTATATGGAGCCGAGACATGGAGAACAACGGCCGTAAACCTGACCAGAATCCAGTCCTTCATCAACAACTGTCTAAGAAGGATTCTCAGAATTCACTGGCCAGACAAAATCAGCAACCAGGAACTGTGGCAGCGGACAAAACAGAAACCCATTGAGGAAGAGATTCTCCAGAAGCGGTGGAGGTGGATTGGTCATACACTAAGAAAACCTGCTTCTAACACAACAAAGCAAGCCCTGAAATGGAACCCACAGGGTAAGCGGAAAAGAGGCCGTCCAAGAAACACTTGGCGCCGAGAATTGGAGACAGACATCAAGAAAATTGGCCATGAATGGAAGATCCTGGAGAAGCTGGCCCAGGATAGAGATGCCTGGAGGTCTCTCGTAGGTGGCCTATGCCCTTGGAGGAACCGCAGACGCCGACGGTGATCGGTGGATGCCCCTCATGGACGAGAAGGTTCAACAATAAAAGGGTCAAATATTTTTAGTCTCTCCTCACCATTAAGCCTAATGATCAGTGTTAACGGTGTTAATGTTAACTTCATGGATTGTTTCGTTGAGTAATATGAAATAATTAAGGTGGTCATAGCCGATTTCGATTGATGACTGATATATAATTATATTATATATAATTATAAAATATATTTACCATTACATTTATATATATATATCGAAATCATTTTTAAGAAGAAGAAAAAAAAATTAATTTAACTTTATTCTGTATTTTAGAGATTTTACATTCCCACATCACGACAACTGAAACGAATAGAATCTACCACAAGATCTCCAATTTTTACACACTTTAGTGAAACCATTACTGGAGCCACTTCTATAAGGTAAAATATCTAGCATTGTGTTGCAACACATGCACTTGCATAAGGTTAGACATTCAAAAGTGTTTGATAAATCACCCACTCAATAAAGGACAGATTTGGCACCAGTGGTATGGGCTATTCAGTGTGCATGACACTTCACCGCTGACTGAAAATCAGAATTTATTAAAAACTTTGTCATTATTTGATCTTTACAATTTGTTAAACAGGGCATATAAAGCCAGCACAAGGTTCATGGAGGAGTCCCAGTCAAGAGTTGATAAGAACTTGGTTTTCTACTTTGGTGGAATAGCCTCAAACAGGTTGGTTAAAAAACTGAAAGCACTCTGTCATAATATGTATAAAATAGAATTAATTTTATTCACAAAGTTGTGTTGTTAGCAACGGCTTCTTGTATAAAAAGGTTTACAAAGTTACTTAAATCATAATCTTACTTACAAGTGGCTGGCTACCAGACTGGAGTTTCTGGGAAATTTTGTTGTATTGTTAAAAAATTTTGTTAAAAAACTGAAAGCACTCTGTCATAATATGTATAAAATAGAATTAATTTTATTCACAAAGTTGTGTTGTCAGCAACGGCTTCTTGTATAAAAAGGTTTACAAAGTTACTTAAATCATAATCTTACTTACAGGTGGCTGGCTACCAGACTGGAGTTTCTGGGAAATTTTGTTGTATTGGCAGCAGCAATGTTTGCAGTTGTATCAGATGACATCAATGCCAGTTTGGTGGGCCTGTCTGTCTCATATGCTTTGCAAGTAAGTCTCTCTTCTCAGTTATTGTAAGGTTATGTTAGAATAGTTCACAAGGCCTGTAAGAAGTCTGATTTATGTTATGTAAATGTAACAAATAGACCCTCTTTTGGTTTTCATAAATAGCATTTATAATGTGTCATTAAGGCATGATAAATTATGTTTTTTATAGTAATAAAGTGGATTTTAAAATTATGGTTTAAAAAGGAAAAGATTTTCATGCAACATGCCTCTTGATGAAATGCAATTTAACTTTTTCTTTCAATAAATTTGTTGTCTTAAGTCAATTTTAAATTCTTTAATAATTATAAAGCAAAAACTGTATGGATATTGTTTTTTTTTACTGTAGGTAACAGGAGGTTTAAATTGGATGGTGAGAATGACCTCTGACCTTGAAACTAATATTGTTTCAGTGGAGAGAATAAAAGAATACACAGAAACCCCATCAGAGGTAAGTGATAAAATGCTACAGGGGTTTAAAATTAACTTTTTAACAGCATTGCGACCTCTCTTGATTTCAGAATGTTTTATGCTCACCCCATCTCAATTTCTAAACATATTTCCATCCTCCCCCTAGGTTAAGAAATATTAATAAAAATGCAAATAAACCTGATTTTCTGGGTCTGGTTAAGAAACTCTGACATACCATACATACATCCTTCTGTCTTTTTGAGATGATGGTATCGCCTTCTTTAAAATGTGCACATTGATTGCCATGAGGCCGATCCTGGAATGAAGCATGAACTGCTCATCTCCCAGGAGAACCTTAGCTTCTGATTTTGTTTTGCAGTTCATATCTCTCATATTGCTCTAAGTATATGCATATGTGTTCATGCACTCACATATGATTAGTTTAGATGAATCCTCTCTAATACTTTTAAAATGAACTGACATCTGCACAGGGTCTCAGCACAGTTAACATTGTTTATGTATTTATGGCTTTATATTAGAGTAAGTAAAATATTCATAAAATGAAATTTTAAAGGCTCATATCCATTTTTCTTTTTAGGCTGCCTGGGTAAACCCATTCAAAAGACCACTTGCCAGTTGGCCACAGGAAGGTGCCGTCAACTTCATTAATTACAAAACTCGCTACCGAACTGGGCTCGATCTGGTCCTCAAAGGGCTTAACTGTCAAATCAAGGGGGGTGAAAAGGTATATGATTTTCAATCAGGAAGCTTCTTAAGCTCCAGAAGAATGTAAGATTAATTGAATTTCTATTCATTCTAGCATAAATATTTGTAGAAATAAAATTAAGAATTATTTTTTTCCTTTTAAGATTAACACTATCTTAAAAATAAATGTTGCACTACCTACATATAAGAGAATCATGGTGCAGCAAACTGCTGTGATGGATCATGATCAATGACATCAGAACAAGGGACGTCACAGAACAGTATGGTAAAGACACAAAAAGGGAAGAGCAATTTCCCTTTCAACATAATAATGTGAACCATCAATACAGTCATTGATTAAAACAGCATTCACAAGATTACTCAAGCATTTTAGATCAAAAAACTTTCCTGAAAATAGCTACAAAAAAATCCAAACTAATACACACCTAAGCAATACAAGAATAAAAATATATATATATTTCTAATTTGATGACTAGGTTGGCATTGTGGGGCGTACAGGTGCAGGAAAGTCATCAATGACAGTGGCTCTGTTCCGTCTGATAGAAGCAGCAAGTGGCAGTATCATGATTGACAACACTGCAATCAGTGACATTGGACTACATGATCTTAGATCAAAAATAACAATTTTACCTCAGGTAAGGTTTGGTTATTTGATAATTCTATACAATGATTGATTCAGGGAATGGTTGTCAGGTTTTTTTTTTCTTAACCACCTCTGATAAGTCAGTGATAAATTGTTTTGAAGTAGATAAATTATCATTCTTTTTATATTATTAACTACATAATGGAGCTATTTTTTATTATTCAGTACAAAAAATAGCATTATATTGGTATTGTTCAGTTAATAATGTAACTTTTTAAAATGTGTTTATTATCCCTCAAACTGTTCTTAGGAATTTAAAATAACATGTTAAAGTTTTTCATTAAATTTTAAAAATAACAAAAATTATTACAAATTTATTTTCGTATTTAAAATGTTATAGAAACTAAAAAAATAATACTATTTTCATACATTTGAAACATTATGATTCTGCTAGGACCCAGTGTTATTTGCCGGCACACTCAGGATGAACCTTGACCCATTTGATTCTTACACTGACGATCTGATCTGGCGGGCCCTGGAACACGCACACTTGAAGACGTTTGTGGAGGAAGTTCCTGGCGGACTGTCTTATGACTGTGGGGAGGGGGGACAAAATCTGAGGTAATGCATGACTGGCACATTAAGGAAATATAAGTGACTTATTGTTTAACACGGAGTGTTTGATATCTATTTGAGCAGAGAGGATTTTTTTTTAATAGTGTCTTATCATATTATCAACATCATTTCATTATTATATATACTGGTATTGGTTAATGTTTAATTAGAGCATTAAATGGTGTAAACATTTTATGAACATTCAACTAACAAAATTTCTGTTCTTTTTAAAAAATTACTTTATAATGTGTTCCCCTGTCAGCTTATCTATTAATACTAGCATCATTTTATTTTTAAAAAATTTATTTTTAGTATCAGTATGACCTCCTCTCTTTATTTAGAACAATTTAAGTCACTATTTGCATTTATCGACATCTTATAACTCGTACCATTTGTATATGTTTCCCCCACTCCAGTGTCGGACAGAGGCAGCTTGTCTGCCTGGCCAGATCCTTGCTGCGTAAGACCAAAATCTTGGTCTTGGATGAAGCCACGGCTGCTGTCGACATGGAAACAGATGACCTCATTCAGAAAACCATTAGGACAGAGTTTAAAGACTGCACAGTTCTAACCATTGCCCATAGACTCAACACAATAATGGACTATGACAGGTAAGAATAACTAGAAAGTTGACAACAAAAACTATGATCCTTGGACACAAGCTATATGGCTTAAGTTGTACAAATTATGGTTTTCCATGTCATTTACATTTGATCACCACTGGAATATAAGATGTTTCTTTTTTTATAATTCTGGATAAAGCTGTAGGAAAGAATGTTATAAAAATTGAAAATCAGTTCTAATTTCATAGTATACAAGATTGATAAAACTTTGCATTTGACTTCATGGCATTTTTTTTTTTTTAGCTTTATATGCAATGGGACAACTATTGTAAACATTTTTAAAGGATTTATAATAGTGTTTGATTTTACTATGACTGTTGCTAAAATGTAGTAATTGTTCTGAAAGTTTGTGTCATACATCATCTAGCATCTGAAAGTTATAGCATTCATTTAATTATTTATTATTATATGTAATTGTTGTATTTATTGCATGTCAAGTTTCTGTAATGATTTGACATAAAAAACCAGTTGTTTTTGTCACAATTTACATTTTTGTTTAAACACCTGTTTCTACATTATCTGACAATACTGTATTGGGGAGAATAAGACCCTTTCTTTTATTTTCAGCCATTTTTTTCTACTTACTACACATTTCAATTTACTCTCACACAGAATCATGGTGCTGGACCAGGGAGAAATAAAAGAGCTAGATTCACCAGCTGCATTACTGGAGAACAAAAATTCTCTCTTTTATGCCATGGCTAAAGATGCTAATTTGGTCTGACAGCTTTTCAGAGAGACAGAATTTAGTTTGACAACTTTAGAGATGAGATTTGGTCTGACAGCTTTACAATGAGTCAAGATTTGGTTTGACACTTTTAAAGCAGGGAAAGATTTGGTTGGACAGCTTTACAGCGAGACAAGTAAAGACTCCAATAGGATTATTAGTTGTTTTTTTCATTGGATTTTTACTGTTGAATAGATCTTAATTTAATTGTTTACTGGTCATTGGAAATAAATTACAATTGCTCAACAATAATGCCTAATGATATGTATAAAAACAAAGAAAACTAATTTTTCAGATCAAACTAATTTTTTAAAAAACAAACTAATATTCTTAGTTTCTGGGTTGTTTTTTTTTTAAACTTTAAAAGATTACTTTGTTTATCTGGAAGTTTAATTTAGCAAAAAGAATTTTTGTTTATTCTAAATTCAGAAATAGTGTAAATGTATAATTTGCAGGGTAAAATTAAAAAATTTTTTTATTTCAAATTGTTGATAAGTTTAAAACAAGTTTATACAAGTCTAAAAAGTGAAGTGCCAAACTCTTATAAGATCTAGAAATCCTTTAAGAATTATTAGGATTTCTAGATCTAATAAGTGTTTTCAAGATAGAACTAATGATATTTTTTAAAAATGATAATTTCAGGGATTTTTGTGATTTCCACAGCATTTTTGAAGTGTAAAGAGTGGAAAAAATTGTTGCTTAACACTAAATTTTTTTTTAATTTGTGAGATCCTACCCAATAGTTGCATTAAGTTTATTTATCTAAATGTATACTGTGAATCAGAGCTCAAAAAATCAAGAGTGCTAATAAATCAAAATACAGGAAGAATAGAAAATTCTTCAAAATTAAAAACTGTTTAAAGAATGTTCAATATTTAATATAAGAGGTACTGGTACTTAAAATAAAAATGAAAATTAATTTTCACAAAAGTTGTCATAAAATGCCATAATATACCAATATATATACATATATATATATTCATTTGAAAAAGAAATCTGTTTAGTATGTGGACACAACTAGAACAATTTTCAGGGCCTTTTTTTTTTTTTTTTTAATTTGATCTATTAAGTAAGATAAAAATTATTTAACGCATTAAAATTTAAATTGATAAATTAGATTTAGTGTATTCCAAACAGATACCAAATGTAGAACCAATACATATTGTTTCTATATATATTTTATGACGTTTCTGCACATTTCCTCAAATTTTACAGTTAATTTATAAATGATTTATTCAGAGGTAATAAGTTTTTGAGAAGAAAAACAGCAGATTGTTAACAAATTCCAACCCTTTCCATGAACCATTTTTGTATTTTGGAACACAAGGCAACACACTTTGATACCCTCAGATTTACATAAAGAGGAATTGTCTCAAATAATTTTTTTTTTTTATATATCTTGCCCCGTTCACTTTTTAAAAAAAGACACTTTTGTTCAGAATGAGAAATATGGTTGCTGTCTCTACTGCTTAAAAAAAGTATTTGTGTATTATTTTAATTATAATGTATTAATTCCATAAGTGGCTTTACTGCAGTTACTGAGTGGAATTACTGCAGCTTGTTCCAAATACATGTCACTTTTTAAAAGTAGTGATGTATTGAATGGATTTTCCCAACTAATGTGAACAATCTGGTAACCTCAGTACAAAACAGAAATCCTTTGAAGTCCAGCTTTTTATTGCCCAGTCTTTTAAGACCTTGTTTTTGTTTTTTTAATGTCATCTCCTTGAGCCCAGTGCAATTAAAAGTGTGATCAACAGCAGCACTGTATCAAATCCTAAAAATAAACAGACCATTTTCTCTTGGCCACTTTGTTTCAAATCTCTTCTAAACCATTCTTTGATGCCTCATCCATTGAAATAGGAGACTTCAAAATTGGGATTATTGATATGCGAATCTTCATTGGGTCACTTTGTCATGTGATATATTCTTCAGGGTTGTGTACATGATATTCTCTCATCATTCCATTATTTATCATTCATGATGGCACCTGTATGTCTAATATCATTGTTTTGCATTAAGTTATTTTCATCACCTCATAACAGATTAATTGAACATCTCTTGTTTGTCTCAGTAAAGCCTTAAAGATAATATTAATAAAAAATTAAATTGATTGTTACCAAAAACGTGAGCAAATAATAATGTGATATACTGGGACTCTGGATCAAAAGTATTCTTGATACAATATGATGACGTATTCAAAATGTGGGTCTAAGGAGTTTTTAATATTTTTGAAAGGTTGTTGTGTAACTCATCTTCTAACCCCCTGTCAATTGTATAATTATTTTGTCACACATACATTATCAATGTTATAACTTCAACATGTGAACATAATGTTAATAAGATTTACATTTCAGATTTCAGCAGTTTCATATTTTTAATTACTCACTTGCAGCATTCACCCATGTTAGGACTGTTCCATTGGCATTGGTTGGCAATTCAATAAACTTTATAAGGGAATGAATTGAATGAGCCCAAGTGTTGTTTTCATGCATCAAGTTTTTAATCTGACATTCTCAGCAATGTCATGTATGTTGAACTGTCATTATAACATATAATGTTTTTGTGAGGGAGGAAATGAAAGATGTTTTGAACTAATCTCAGGTCATTATAGCATTACCAATAAATTAGAATTCCATCTGACTACATTATATTATAATTTACACTAATTTAAAAAAAAATAATTCATTTTGTATAGAAATAAGCTTTTCAAAGTGAAGTGAATGGTTAGTGAAAATGTTGAGATATAAACTTGGGGTATTAATGTACAAATATTTTACAAATATTTCTATGCACTCTGATTTTACCTGTTAATTTTTTCACCTTACACCACAAGCAGCAATGTATTACAATATTTTCTTGTACATTCTAATAAAGGAGAATTTTTATAAAACTATTTCTATGCTATTTTATGATTACTTGAATTTTTAAGGGGAGTCATCAGAAAATCACTGGGACTGTTAAAGAGAAATAGTTTTTGTCTCCTTAAGAAGTTCTCTGTCTCTCAAATTAATCTCATACTTGTATGATAACTCTCTCACAGAGATCACTACAAAATCCTGTAGGAAGTAAATCAGTGGAGAGTATATATGTTTTTGTGTTGAGCCGTGAGACACAATGACACAGAATTTTGCTTGATGAATGGTTCATGGACCATTTACAAAGTTCTATTCGATAGTTCTAATTTTTTTTGTTCATGAAACTCTTTTTCCATTGGAATATTTCTTTAAACTATTGAGTCTAGTGCTCTAATGGGTGGAAGTTGTCCATTAAACTTGTTGCAGAGGCCACAAAAAATCCATCACAAGCAGTGTTAGAGGAGGGGAGTAGTTTTCAAATATAATGATTATATGAGTCATCTTTCGATTGGAACCACACTGGACACGACACAGACTCCTCCTACCCTAAGATTTTTCAGAGTCATCAGACATTGACTCCTCTTAACCTAAGATTTCATAGATTCATCAGACATTGACTCCTCTTAACCTAATATTTCATAGATTCATCAGACAATGACTCCTCTTAACCTAAGATTTCCTAGAGTCATCAGACATTGACTCCTCCTACCCTGAGATTTCATAGAGTCATCAGACATTGACTCCTCTTAACCTAATATTTCATAGAGTTATCAGACATGGACTCCTCTTAACCTAATATTTCATAGAGTTATCAGACATTGACTCCTCTTAACCTAAGATTTCATAGAGTCATCAGACATCGACTCCTCCTACCCTAAGATTTCCTAGAGTCATCAGACATTGACTCCTCTTAACCTAAGATTTCATAGAGTCATCAGACATTGACTCCTCTTAACCTAAGATTTCATAGCGTCATCAGACATTGACTCCTCTTGACCTAAGATTTCATAGAGTCATCAGACATTGACTCCTCTTAACCTAAGATTTCCTAGAGTCATCATACATTGACTCCTCTTGACCTAAGATTTCATAGAGTCATCAGACATTGACTCCTCTTAACCTAAGATTTCCTCGAGTCATCAGACATTGACTCCTCCTACCCTGAGATGTCATGCTGTTATGACCAACCATTCTACAGAGTTCACTTAATTCCTACCTCAATTAACTGGATCATGTAAAGGTCAATTAATCGTGGCCTCAGTCTGTAGATGAACGTCATCTCTCCTCCATCCCAGTTTTGCCGTTCAATTTGTCCACAGCAAATACAGACTTTGAATACATGCACCTGGATTGTTTGTCTGACAAATTGAAGTGTACCGGTCTTTGATTGGTTCTTCAAATTCTACGCTGGTCCGGGACTCTCTTCAGTTTTAATATTTACCCACCACCTAATAAAACGCGGAAAAGGATACATTGTAAAAAAAAATTAATAATAATATTAAAATAAAAAAGTGTGGTTTGGGGAGGGGGTTGTTTTCAAGATAAAAACAATGAATGTCAATTCGTTAAAGAACAATATTATAAATTACTTGCGTCTATATCATTTTATTTATTTTATTTTTTAAATGATTTATCCGAATTAAGGGTAAATATTTTTTAAGGTATGGAAGTAGTAAATACCGAACAATTGTTCTTATATTAATTAATTTATTGTTAAAAATCTGAACTCACTGCATGCTGGTTTTAGTGTTTTAGTGTTCCCTACTTCATGTTTGCGAAACAAACATTATGGAGTAAATCAAAGCATTATAACTACAATAAAAAAAATTATAGACATATGCTCTCTTTATTAAAAAATCTAAATTCAATATTGTCAATCAAATATATATATATACATATATATTTGATTGACAATATTGAATTTAGATTTTTTAATAAAGAGAGCATATGTCTATAATTTTTTTTATTGTAGTTTCACAATAGAAAGAAAAAGGGTGAGAGAAGAAAGTCACGGACCAGTATATCATCTGACATATATTTTTAAACTAATAAGATCTTTAAGTTTTTATGTAAGGATGGAGTAAAGGAATTCAGAAATAATGTATTGAGTATTCACGCTATTGCATAATCACGGCATACCACTCATTTTGTGCATATTTATCCTATTGCATTCATACATTTTCTCTAATCTCCTCCCCCCCTCTCTCTTATCATTCTCTTTCTCTTCCTCTCTCAATCTCTTCCTCTCTCATCTCTCGTTCTCTTTCTTTCTCCCTCTCCCCAGCATCTATTCCATCCCCCTTATTTCCTTTGAAAGCATTTGTTAGAGCAGAACTGTGAAGCGGAGCTCTGAGCTGGAGTAGCTCTGGAGCAGAAGTCGAGGTTATGGAGCTGAATTCAAGGCTCTGGAGCTGAAGTCGAGGTTATGGAGTTGGATTCAAGGCTCTGGAGCTGGAGTTGGATTCAAGGCTCTGGAGCTGAAGTCGGTGCTCTGGAGCTGGAGATACATAATTGTAGAAAATATCTGAGTTTTGGCACGGACCGGTCGCCATCTTTGCCCCCAAGGTACGCCTTTGGTACAGGTTTCAACCACAGGTCTGTGGTTCAGCCATAAAATTATAGTAAGCCTGAAGTATTAAGCCGTTGAAGTCTTAGTATTGACACCTCAGCAACAACAATAAATTTGTAATGTTTCTTGGTATATCTTTCACTTGTGCATGTGTGCACTAGTTAGACTGCGTGGTTCATTGAACACATGAACAACAATCCTGGATAAGGGTGATGTAAGATGGCAGGAATAGAGTCTCTTTCAATTGTAGAATTTGGTGAAATTTTGATAAAAATCCCATTTAAAAAATCCAGTATTAGATGAGGAGTCCAATTAATTGCAAACCCTGCTAAGTCGATTTTCACGTGAGGGCTTTTAGATCTTCGGTTGGTCACGTGATAGTTATGACGGATACTTCCTGTTGGTTTGCCATCTTAGACTACTTAGACTTAGAGCCATTATTATCAATCGAGAAATGTGTCATATTTTGAAGAATTTCATTTTAGCGTTGAAGAAACACTAAGAGCAATGTGCGTACATCTAAAAGCAAGTAAGAATATGTTTATAATTTTATTGTATTTTTAAATTCTATTTTAAATATAGTTCTATAATCATTAACATGACATCAATC